AGGTATGAAGAAATACTATTTTCGCATCTAAGCGGAACATCATGGTGTACACAACAGTCTCTGGATTTGCTGCATCACAGACACCAATATTTTTACAATTTATAAAAAAAAATTATCACTTTCTGGCCATCTAATAATAGGCATGGATATATATATAATTGCGATTGTGATTTTTGAAAGTATTACATCTCTTTGTAACCATTTATTATTACCATTTGTTGAGTCTGCCCATACAATTTGATATGACAATTGGACCTGTAAGCCACTTTGCATGATGCCACACTTAATAAGTGGATATACACCAAAAATATGTGCTACAGTTTTGTCAATTTGCTTGCTGTACCATATTACTACTTCAGTGTTCATTTACAAATAATAATAATTTATTCAAACTAAGTTTCATATGACTTTTAAGTAAAAGTTTAATCTCAAAACAAGACTGAAGATTTACACCCTGATTTTTACTGGATAAAAGAATAAATATATAGAAGAAAATGTGTGGTTAATTATACAAAATAATTGAACCAGAATGACAGATTGTTCTGTAAACAAGACGTAATGTCTTAAAGAATCTAATGACAGTCATTTTTAAACCAGAAAACAAGACAAAGAGAACTGTATGATGGTTATGTTAATGTAAATAAAAAATATATAATATTTCATTAAGAATACAAAAAGATGAATCAGAAAATAAGAAAGCACAAAATTGATATTAGTCTCACAATAACTATAAAATATTTAAATGATTTCACTAGTGGTTAATTAAGATACAATAATAGTTACCAGATAAATAATATTTAAAAATGTTATTTTATTGTTGAAGTTTAAAACTCTGAGTGTGCGATGGTGAAAACAGTGATTTTGACAATTGAAAGGAGGTTGAATAATATGAAAAAAATATAATAGAAAGGTAGTACAATTATTTAAAGTATGTTTTATTGTTAGTTTGACAAAGAAAAAGGAGTTTGAACAAAATGATGTATATTTTTAGACATATGATCAAAAGACATAAAAGTGCCCGTAGTTGAAGAATTACTTGGATATAAAACTGGAAGCAAATGTAAAAATGCAACAAAAATGCACTTTATTTTGTAAAAATCAAACTATAAAGAGTAATATAAGACAGTTTTTCTTACAGAAATGTAATAAAATTAATGCACAAGAAGTCTGCCGACCTGATTTCACCAAATAGGACATGTTCCTGTATTAACATATACGTTGATCCAGAAACAACATTCCCATCAGCCAATCAGAATTAAGAGATACATCTAATGTTTATATTAAGGCTTACGGTTAGGTTTATGCACTTCTACATGATTGTTATTTAACTATTAAGTACAATAATCAAGTACATTCCTCCAGTGTTTTACACCCATGCATTGCACCTTATTTAGTGTGTGTTTGACTCCCCCAGACTGAGAAGGACATACTTTTACGTAACGAGCTGGATGAAGTCCACAGGAATCACCCATCTAAACTCAAACTCTGGTACACTCTGGACAGACCCTCTGAAGGTACTATTAACATATTTAACCCCAAATTATTGCTTGCTATTTAAAATCCATCCATGTAATTTTTATTATACGTCACTAACAGACAAACTTCATGCCTCCTTTCATATTATGTGGGTCAAATTAAGTTTTATAATCGGTTCAAACATTGCGACAATGTGTTACAGCGTTGGTCACAATTGTATACCTTATCGGTAAGTAGCAAGTACATAAAACTGATCTGGTCATGTGATATTTGGTACTTATACATGGACAAAAACATTCAGAGATTAGAATCTTTCATGTAAACAAAGGTTTTGATGACCTTAATCCAGGTAAAGTCATACTCAAAGTAAACTCAAATTAAATTAAGATGTGGAGTATTTCTGTTATATTTCCATGAGCAATATATACAGTTGAAGTCAGAATTATTTGCCCCCTGTTTATTTTTTTCCCCAGTTTCTGTTTAACAGAGAGATTTTTTTTTCAACACATTTCTAAACATAATAGTTTTAATAACTCATTTATAATAACTGATTTATTTTATCTTTGCCACGATGACAGTCAATAAAATTTTACTGGATATTTTTCAAGACACTTCTATACAGCTTAAAGTGACATTTAAAGGCTTAACTAGGTTAATAAGGTTAACTAGGCAGGTTAGAGTAATTAGGGAAGTTATTGTGAAATGATGGTTTGTTCTGTACACTATTGGAAAAAAGAAATTAGCTTAAAGGGTCTAATCATTTTGTCCCTAAAAAGTTTTTTTTTTTTTTTTTAAATAAAAACTGCTTTCATTCTAGCTGAAATAAGACTAATAAGACTTTCTCCAGAAGAAAAAATATTATCAGACATACTTTGAAAATTTCTTTGCTCTGTTAAACTTCAACTGCATATACAGTATGAGCAATATCACACTCATAGCAGTGCGATATGGCTGTTTATCGGCAGTCGGCACTGGTGGGAGGCGTGCATTAGCTCAAAGCCACAGGCCAAGTGCCTTACCCTTACTGTCCATATACAGCCACATCGCACTGCTATGTGTGTGATATTGCGTTTATACAACAGTTCAACGGCATAATCATGTATATAAAAAAGAAAATCAAACAGAGTCTCAAAAATCCTTTTGATGAACTACTTTCTTCTGTAGCTGACGGTCAAAAGAGCAAAAACTGTTGCTAATTCACCAACGTCACTTTAGAGCTAGAGTTTGAATGACTCTCTAGTGTTATGTCTAAAGGGAAGAAAAAAACAGCTGATTTTACTGACATAAGATATATATATATACATAAGATTAAACGGCATGAAATGTCATCAGTCTTTAATGATTTCCAAGTATTTCTTTGTTGCAATCAGGAGATTACAATAATTAACCCCAAAAAAGCTAAAGCTTAGCAAACACTAGCAGATTACTATGGTATAAATACAGCACTACAACATAGAAGAGAGAAAGAGAGATCCAATGGGAATGTCACTAACCTGTTTTATTATGATTTGATCAGCTGCAGTTTGAGATACAAAAAGAAAACACTGACTTTTCTCCCCTAAGGACTTATTATGCGGTCTCTATCGCCATCTTGTGGTGCAACCGTCTTTGCTCTGCTCAGTATCATATGCTGATGGCCACCAACGCAAGGAATCTCTGAAATTATAAATGTTTAAAATAGGCACTATCCTTATGAATAAACTGCACAGTTGCAATCTAAACAACTACATTCTACAAAGCCTCAAAAGTACATTATGTTGCTCAACAGCAGCAATATTTGTCAAAGTGTAGTGAGTTTATTGATCTGCTGTCACTCTATGTGGGCGGAGTAATACAGAAGGGTGAGGAGGCTGTACAAGTGCTCTTATTGCATATATTAATTTAACAAAGCATACAGATATAGGAGAGTTTGTCCTACAGGTGGTTTGTCAAGCCCGCTCACCTGTGTGTAGCACACTCAGAATTGCACAATGTTTACAAAGACATGTGGGGTGCTTATAAGAAGCTTATGATGTCTACTTATGTCCATGTTACTATTTATTTATATATTTTTTTCATTTAAAAGTTGGCAAAAGTCAGCACCACCACTTTATAGAGCTTCCAGAAATAACAGAAAAGACCCAGCCACAATTGTAAACAGTGGGTTTAAATAGGCGTTAACATGATATCCCAAATGTACACAAACACTGCCTGCTGTAGAAGTGACTGTGAAGCTTTTGTGTCTGTATTTTTGTGACAGGCTGGAAGTACAGTGAAGGGTTTGTTAACGCAGCCATGATGAAAGATCATCTGCCGCCTGCAGACAGTGATGTGCTGGTGGTCATGTGCGGACCTCCAGCCATGATCGAGAAAGCCTGCCTGCCCAATCTGCTCAAGCTGGGCTACAAAAAAGAAAACATTTTCGCATACTGAGCCTCCTGATGACACATGGTTTAAAAGCTGGTTTATGTCTTGTGGAACATGTTGAGTCAATGTCAGAAAAGGGTTAAAATCTGCTTTTTTTTATTTTTATTTTTTTAAACCTGTATGTTTTTGCTTGTTTTGAACAACCAAAAGATCCAGTTCTGTTTAAACAATTCAAGAAAAACAGGCCAGAAATACACAGCACTGTTGTCTTATTTTGAAATGCATCCATTTTTTACTGGAAAAACACAAACAAATAAAAAAATGTTTTCTATTTATTTTATTTGTCCACATTATTAAAAACGAGTTTTCCCTGATTACCAAACAAGCATTATTAGTTCTTAGCAGGATTTCCACGTTTTCACAAACAGCAGATTTGATGACTTTTTAAAGCACCATTAATTTTAAATCAAGCATCTATGTAATTCATACCCCAGCATACTGTATGTAGTGTAACAAAAGTCCTTACTGTACTTAACATTTCATTTACACTTAAAATTAACAATAAAATGTTATCATGTTAAAGTCCTGTTTAAAGAGTTTAAATAAAATTTGTTGAATTCAACACTGGTGATATTCAAATCTGGTTTCTGAAATATTGATAAAATTGTGCATTATTTGTCACTGTTATTGTACAATATTTGTATTTAAGATTTTTAATTTAGGAATGTTTTTTTCATTCTTTTCTAGACAATTGAGTACAATTGTTGGAATAAAACCATAAACTAATTTAATTTCAAAGTTAATTCAAGCACTTTCAAGGGCCTGTGTTTTTTTTTTAAGTAGTTTCAAGGCCTTGAATCCATATGCCTAAAATTCAAGTACTTTAAGAAGCGTGGGAACCCTGTCTTGCATATTTAACTGTCCCTACCCTTTTGCATGTGCATAGGATGGGAGAAAATGTAGAAATGCATTAAGTGATTTCTAAGGTTAAATAAAATTAGAAGTACAGTTTTCTCTTCATAAAGGTACTTATGCTGTACATACACACATACTGTACAAACCACAAATTGATTAATAATAAAAGGTTTGGTCATCCAAATAAAAAAAGTAAAACTTTAGTTTAAATCTAAAATGAAATGGAAAGGATAGCTATGATTTAAATAAACAAAGTGTAAGTGAGCTGTTAGGTGAACTTAACAAGCATGGTCAAAGGATCATTACCCTCTTTACCAACCAATGCCTGTAACATTCCAGCAGGAGTAACAAAACATTTAGCACCTTTAAAGAAATGATTGATAAAAAGCTGATCGATCCTCACACACTTCCCCACAGCAGCTTGCAGATTGTTGCTCAGCAGCCCGTAGATGTTCCCTTCATCCTTTTGCCGTCCAAAAAAGAGGAAAAGTGTGAAACAATCTCTACCAATGGAGGAACAGAAGTCCACCATCCTCTCGGCTTGAGTTTTCTCCACCACGTCCATCCCGGCCATACGCATAACATCAGCGTAAAGATCCAAAGAAAGGTCCTCCAGGATCTGCTCGGTTCTTTCTGGAAGGTGGCAAACCTGGACGGCGATCTGGATTTTAGGGTTCCTGCTGGGATGATCCAAGACGGCCCAAACCCAATCTGCACCTAGAAGGATCCTCTGCTCCGGGGTCATAGTTGTGGTGTTAAAGATGTCAGTGAGGTTTAAAACGGTGCTGCGCTGAATGAACGTCATCAGGAAGATCTCGCTTAGGGTTGAAGGACTCGGGTTGAACTTGTTTTCCGGATCTTTGAAGTATAGGTACTCCTGAGTTCTAGATGAAGCCGATTGAATGCAGTCGCTGAAGAGGTGGATGAGGTCCATTGAGGCCATTTTGATGGGTTTTGGCCATAATGTTCTGAAAATGCTGGTTTTGGCTTCATTTTGGGTGTTCATTTGGTACATTTCAGCTGGTGGAGATCAAAGTGTCGTTTCTCTAATACACTGAAAATATGGATAGATATTTACATTACTCCATTGGATTATATGTTCACACTTTTTACATTTTAAATCTACACAATTACAACATAATGAAAACGCCCAACTCCATAGATAGTTGCTAAGATTTAAAATAAAAGCCAAATGAAAGGCAAATAGCTGTGTAAAGCCACATAAAACAAAACAAAAATACGATGTATATGCCGAGTTCAGCGGCTAATCAGTCGGAATAACATGATGGCAACCAGTGAGACATAGCTGTGCCTCTAGTGGCCACGCCCTTAATTATGCAGACTTAATATAACTTGACAAAAACGATAGGATGAGTTATAAAAAAAAATCACTCCCCTCACAGTTGTCATGAAGGGTAATATTAGTTATATACACCAAAATCGTTCTTTGTATCAGGCTGTAAACACCTTTTTTTCTGCTGTAAAGTCGGCCAATTTAATAGTGAACTCAATAAAAATCTGGTCTATTATGGAGCCAGAATTAGCGAAATTTCGATGAAATGCAGTCTCAGTTACTTCCACATTAGCTTCATGAGGTAGAGTAGAATGATCTAAACAGTTACAGCATAATTAAACCCTAAACCCATAGTTGCTGACATTTAAAATAAAAGCTAAATGATAACATTACTGTAATATAGTGAATATAAAACACTAAAGTGTTAGTGGCAGTAGCTTTGTTTCCATCAACCGTTTTTTAAGCGTATTTTCAAAATTTATGAACATCTTGGTATCTGAGAAATGCTTTTTATTTGATAAGAAAAGATGTGCATAAACTATGATGAAAGCACTTTTACCAAACAAATACCAGTATGTGCATTAAAAAAGTCATGTAATTTTTTTATAAGAGATCATGCCCAGTAAGCATTTTTTGTTTTAAAATGATGTCTAATAGATGTCTAATAGATGTCTAATAGATGTCTAAACATAGTCGTTTAGGCTAAAACAAGGCTACATTTGGATTTCAGTGAAAAATAATAGACGCCTAAAGGCCAAAACTAGACTAGTCATCAAATAAACAGAAATGAATGGCTACACATAAAGTCTGTCTAATCTGACTATATGACTACTAGTCTAGTTTTGGGATATTCTTAGATGTCTGTTAATTTTCACTGACAGTCCAAGTTCAGGGTTTTTTTTTTACCACTTTTTTTGAACATTTACATTTTGAACAAGGCCCGAGATCCACTCAAGAAAAAAAGGTAAAAAAATAAATAAAATAAAAACAGTAATACTGTAAAAATAGGTACAAAATCGGGATTGAAACAGTCTCTATCATATTTAACCAAAATTGTACAATTTTTTACTGGCACCATTTATTTTGGCTGTGGTGTATTCCAAGCTAATAATGTCCAGTAGATGGAGATATTCAATATTCCAGTTTTGCGCATAAAATTGAATTTGCATCTTTGGATACATAGTTAATGAAATATTTAACTACATTTTTAAATCATGGTTTTTATATAATACATCATGCATTAATGTTAAGTTTTGCATTAAATATATAAATATTTAATAAAGTATATTTAAATGAATTTGTTTAAATATATAAACTATTAAATGTTGAATTGAATTTACATTCTTAATGTTGTTAGCAATTGAAGTAACTAATACAACTTTACTGTAAATGTTTATTGTAAATTACAGCAGTTAAGCAATGCTTCTGTACTGTATCTAAAAATTTACAATGTTAGAAGTTAAAAAAACTCACCAGTATTATTCTTTCCTTGGTATTGGGTGAGAGTGAACCAGCAGTCAGATGCTTCTCCTCTCTGGACTCCTATTAAAAAAGGGTGTTCATTTTAAGCTCGGTGGTCAAATAAAGACCTCCCAAAAACTATGTTTGCCATTTGAACTGGAACTAGACACTGGAAAGGTAAAAAAAAAAACAACCAAAACAAAGTCCTTTTAACTCTGAAAATGGATTAATAAGAGCTACAGCAAGCAAATGTCCATTTCTGTTTGAGAAAACAAACTGCTTTTAACATATTATAGAAATACAAAAAAGATTAGACCAAGAAAAGGACAAAGTATTGAGCAAACAGATGGATTTACTCACAAACAGATCCATTGGAAAACAAGATCATATTACAAACAAAAAAGGCAGAGGTAGACAATTTTATCAGTTGACATACAGTAAAATAAGGGCTGCTTGCATAACATATACACACTTTTTTTCTTGGAAAATCAACTTCATACAGTACATTATAACCCCAAATCCAAAATCAATATTAATTAATAATATAATAACAGAATTGAATGGTGAAAAAGAAAATTTCTGAGTCATCACATGAAACGTACTATATTTGATTGTGTACTAATTTCATGGAGAGGCTGTGTTTTAATTGAGAAGCTGCATTCTTAGAAGGCCACATTTGAAGATTGATTGAGCCGCCACACTGACCATAGACTTGATAGAAAAATGAATCCAAAATACACCAGGTTTGCCTGCTGTCATCTAGGACCAATGCCATTATTTGGATCATAAGGTAAAGCCACGGTATCAAACGTCCCAACCAATAGTCCTGGTGACCCAATCACAAGCGCGGGGTTATGATGTCACACCTCATTTTTATAGCATCCAATAAACAAACTATAACCAAAATAAAGAAATGACACTTATTAAACGCACTTAAATTACACTTGAAATGTGCAGAGCTGGTGGTCCTCCAGGAACGTGGTTGAGAAACACTGATATAGACAGTCTAAAATGGTTGTACCATCTTTGGGAAAATGTACTTGTGGTGTAGTGTAATTTCTTTGTTTGGCATACAATTCAGATATTTATAAAAAGGCTAGTCCTGCTGCCAGCCACTAGAGGGCGCTCAATGAGTTGGTTTCACTTTTTTAGGCCTAGAGTGTGACAATGTTCGCCCTGTTTTAATGGTTTCTTTTTTGACCTGTACTGCAGTCAGCCACCAGAGGGCAATGAAAATGTTTTGGCTTCACTTTTCATAAAAAGTGATGCACACTTGGGTTCTACTAAGGCCCCGTCTTGGTGGTTTCTTAAAATGTGTCCTTAAAACACATCTTAAAGGGAAAATTCAGCCAAAAATGAAAATTCTGTCAGTAATTACTTATCTTCATATCATTATAAATTCGTAAGCCCTTCAGAACTCAAATTTAGATTTATTTTTGTGATTTTTGCATTTATTATGATAGGACAGTAGAGTTTGACAGAAAGTAAAGTTGGAGAAAAAAAGGGGATGGCATTGGGAAATGTCTGCGAGTCGGAATTCGAACTCGGGACGACCACAGTGCAGTTATGCTACATGTCATTGCATTGACTATTAGGTTTTTAGTAGAAAACTAATTTGTTTTTTATAAAATCTGAGCACTCTCCGATCCTCTGTAGACAGCTAGGGTCCATAAAAGTACCAAGAACATGGTCATGAGGTTATTGGTAACAAATTAAGATATTTTTTTGTGAAATCCAATAACTCTTACCGTCCGTAGACAGCTAGGGTCCATACAAATACCAAAAACATGGTCATGAGGTTATCTGTAGCAAATTAAGATGTCTTTTTTACAAAATCTAAGAACTCTCTGACCCTCCGTAGACAGCTAGGGTGCATAAAAGTACCAAGAACATGGTCATGAGGTTATCGTTAGCAAATTAAAATATTTGTTTGTGAAATCCAAGAACTCTCTGACCCTCAGTAAACAGCTAGGGTCCATAAAAGTACCAAGAACATGGTCAAAACAGTGACTATGACAAAAGCAAGTACTTTTGTGCGCAAATAAAACCAGACAAAAATAACAACTGATTTCATCAAAAAGATCTACATTTGTGTTCCAAAGTTGAGCGAAGGTCTTGAAAAGAGATGAAAGAGCTAGGTCTTTCCCTAGGTAGAAAACAAGGGGCCATGCTTACACTATTTTTACACCTCTGGAAACACAGCTCCTTGGTTCTTTCTGTTTTATGACTACTGTAAAATCAGAAATACTACTATTTTGTTGTGCACTTATGTAGTATTTGGTTTCGAACGCAGTGATTGTGTTACACAGCAGCAGTCTTGCAGGTTGAGGGTGAGGTGGGTTAGGATGAGCTCTGGTTTTCAGTGGGATGATGTTAATGTGGTGCGGTCCAATCACACTATGGCAGTCTGGCTGCGTCTCATTCCTCTCAGCAACTCGTCTCGGCTCAATAAGTACTGTAAGTGAGAGCAGGGGATCGGGGGTCAGGATTAGCGTAGAAGTTAAATCTAGTTAAGCAGAGGTAAACCTAAAGTGTTCAATAACAGTTTGCAATATGACACTAGGGCTAGGTGATGTGCTTTTTTTGCTTGTAGAATAAAATACAGAAAGAAACATTGGCTTTATACTGTTTCCTATCTGAACCTACTAGATCCTTAAGTTAAATGGCAAAATAATAAATTCTTACTTACTGTGAGGTTGTTAATTCCTTTGGATAAGGCTTCAATCTGCATTCCTGATCCTTTAGCATGCAAGATCTGTAATGTCAAGATATCAGTCAAATATGCCTACAAAATATGTTGTTATGGCAGCTACATTTTAGATGGAACATTAAGCAGAAGCAATGGGTGGTAATGAGGTGCAAATTACATGGAGAAAGAGAAGTTTGTGAGAAATTAATATACCTGCGTAAGTGCATGAAAATCCCTTCCCAGCATGCACTTCTCCACAGTGTGATAATGGGCGGTTTGGTGGAGGCCGGATGCAGGGGTGGCAGCAGGTTAATGCTTAATGTTTGAAAATCATGCATGTCAATGTATTTCTGCATATTATTTTGCAAGAGGATTGAGGGGGAGTTTACACAACACTGTTTTTGTAAATTTATTTAAATTTAGCGTAAAAGTCAAAAGTGTTTATGTATTATTTACATACCTGTCAACATTGGGATGTAAAAAATAAGGGAATTTAAAAAAATTGAATCAAGTTATCAAACCTCATTAACCTTTTCTTTACTGTAAACATTAAATATTCTGATTAAAGAGCAGTGAATAATACTCTCATTTAGATATTTCGTTTGATCACAATAAATATACAGAGGTGTCACTTTAAAAACTGCACACATCTATCATGAAAGCATTCGATTGCTTGCCTAACTTTTTACAGTATGCTCATTTGAGACATAATTTGTTGTGTTTAAAAGAAAACCCACCAAGATCAACATTTTTAGATGTTGCTATTATTATAGTTATTATTATGCTTATATGTCTGTTTAAACATGCACCCGAAACTCAGAGTGTCCCCTTTCGGCCCGATTCAAATCGCATGTATGGAGAGACAGTCATGCACCGCTACATGAACTGACTGTTTTGAGGATTGCTTAGGAGGGGCAAAGGTGGAAAGGAAGGGAATCCCACCGTTTTTATATTTATTTCAAAGTGTTTTCATGGCTAAAAAAAAAATCAAAGCACAGAACAAATTTACATTTAAGAGTAAGAGGCGTCCCCTGGTAGTTCAACGGTATCGGTTACATATACTGTAGGGAGGATTGGCTCTTTGATGTTTATTGCCACTATTCTTAGAAAGATTACAATTTCGAGATAAATACCAGAAAATACCTTTATGACATGATAGTGGGAGAGAATTGTAAATTACGGGGGAATCTCGGGAAAATAGGAGGATTGACAGGTATGACTATATGTTCAGTCTAAGGACAGTTACAAATACTAGACAAAAAAAACCAACAACAATGGCAGGACCTTTTTCAAAGTGGCATTGCCACCTACTGGTCTGGCATGCACAATACAGTTTTTTGTCATCTGTATTTGTATGCAAAACATTCCAATGAAGAAAAGAAATTAAAACATCTTAGTACAAAACTTGTTGTGTAAACTTACCCTCAGTTTTACAAATTAAATAAAGCTATGAAAACAAGAACAAAGATCAAAGAAAGAGTCCCCTATATGCTAAAAAACACAATAGAAGCCTTATTGAAGAGGTTTATTTCACAATATTTGGATTAAATATAATTACAGTCTATCTTAGATTGAAAAGGCAAGATATTTACCTATAAAAATGTGCTTTTTGCTGAATAAAAATAAACTTGGATTATTCAAAATGTGCTGCCTCTGAACATATAATAGTAGTCTGTGTGCCTCTTAAAAACTTGCCATAAATATACCATTAAATACTCTAAAACATGCAAATATTGCACAAGATTGTACACACTGTCTTTTAAAACAGCACAAAGTAGATGTTGGTTACAAAAATGGAATACTTGTTAGACAGAATCTTTTACTATTCACAAAAAAAAAAAAAAAAAAAAAATGAAATCAAACATGTGTCCATCAAAGGTGAAATGGCACTATTTTTGGAAAAAGCATTTTCTAAACCATGTTGCCCATGTGAGATGTTGTCATTTAGTACTAAACCAAGTCTTTGCGCATTGTTCATACTGCCAATGAGGGATTGTGGGAGTTATAAAATGGCACTGAGTTTCATGAGGTTTTGAGTGGAGGGTTATTGGTTTGCGGAGCATCAGATTTGTAGAGCTCCCACCTGCTCCCGTCTCTCGGGGTCCCTGTCGAAGATTGGGCTCAGGCCCCTGAAGCCACTGTAGGGCCGGTTTGCCCCATTCAGGAGGGCCTGGGCTTGGGACGCATCCAGAGGACAGATGTAGTCTGTGGAGTCGTCCGAGCGCTTCTTACGTGGACCAAAACTGGAGAAACCGATTTTACGTGGCTGAGGAACAAAACAAACAAAAAGAATAAATACAACAGCATAAATTACAGTGTGATTAATGTTTAACTGTGCATGCATTTCCTTGATATTTACATTTAATGAACACTAGATCATGGCAGAGGTCATTTAAAGTTTCTTACATGTATAAAAATAGAATTTAATAGTAGTGTAACGAATCACAAATCTTATGGTTCGGATCACACATCGCTTTTTGAGTCAAGGACCATTTTTCGGATCAGCAAAAAGGGAGGAGACAAAAATCAATTGCTTTCCATTTATACAAAAAACTTTACCTAAAAAAACATTGGTTTCAAGAAACAGAACTTGTAATTTTAATAAAAAAGAAAATCAAGAAAGAACCAGCTGAAAAAAAAGGAAAATATTCAATACGAAAAATGATCTTTGCTACTGTTGCTGATGAAGCTAAATGTAGAAATCTAACATCATATTTATTTTCAATTAATGATTTAACAATTCACACATAAAACCTTATGTTTCATTATAGGTGGATCATTTTTGAAAACCAATTCAGGGAGATCATTTTAATGGTTGTTTGTTGTCACCCATTGCTTACACAATGTAATTGCTACAACATTCACCAGAGTCAAGTTCCATTAAATGTTGATTTTAATCTTTAAAATAAATATCAGTTTTTATATCTGAACAATAAACTTATGCCAGCACTGCTGTTATTTAATTGTTTGTAACGAATGAAAATGTGTAAAAACTGAATCTCTCTCGATCAAACACAGATATTGAATGCATTGCTTCGAAGGAATAATAAACATGCAAATTCTTATCATTTTTGATAATGAGGGGTGATCTCTGCAATCATTACAACTGTTGGATTAGCCAACAAGTAAAAAAAACGGATTACGGATCAACCCTGATCCGTTACACACCTATAATTTAATACCACTATAATCAGTTTTTCATATTGCATATAATAACTTTGTGATGCTCAAACACCATATTGAACTGAGCTTGACATCTACACCTTTATTATCATCATCATCATCATCATCATCATCACCATCATTATTATTATTATTATTAATAATAATTACATTTTACAAAAAGCGATTCCCACAATTTGCATATTATAATTAAATTAGATAATTAATAAATTCTGACAAAATTCAATTGATGAATGATAGAATTCAATGAATTTTATTTATCAATTTAATATATACCAGTTGAGTTTTTCCCAATTTATGTTTAAAGAAAATAAGATTTTTTCCAACACATTTCTAAACATTAAATAACTAACTTCTAGTAAATGAATATTTACTAAATATTTTTCAAGACACTAGTATTAAGCTAAGTGACATTTAAAGGCTTAAGTGAGTTATTTGGCAAGTAAGGGTAATTAGGCAAGTCATTGTATAACAGTAGTTTGCTCTAAAGGCAATAAAAAAAATTTCTTAAAGGGGGTAATAATTTTGACCTTAAAATGGTTTAAAAAATTAAACTGCTTTTATTCTAGCCGAAATACAACAAATAAGATTTTCTCCACAATGAAAAAAAATATTATCAGACCAACAGTGAAAAAATCTTTGCTCTGTAAACATAATTTGGGAAATATTAAAAAAAAAGACACAAAAATTCAGAGATGGGCTAATAATATTCAACTGTATACAGATTAATTAAATACATTTTTTTTTTGTATATTTGCAACTTCCTTAAAAACATCTTTTTAATACACTACTATTTATCAAATCATAATCAGTAAATTGTGAATAAAACCAGTATAACATGTCCAGGCTTCAGTTTCAATCATTTGTAAAAGTCCTAAAATGCACTTGAATGCCATTTTCACTGGAAAAAGGAATTTACGTCTCTGCTGAAGGAGCTCATTTTAACACATACTCTTCTTTTTATTACAAAAATATGAATGGTTGGCTTAACTGTGGTTTTGTTTGGTCCAAAGCTTCATTGTGCTTAGTGAGTGTTTTACAGCATGACACAAGTCACTCAGCACATTTCATATAGATGGCCTAAGCAAAATCCAAGTGTCAAAACACACGTGCTGCGTCAGCTGGGATTAAACAGGAATCTGAAGCGTGTATTTGCATGTGTAAGGGCTTCCGGCTTGTGCTGATGAATGCCAGGGATTAAGGTGTTTATAAAGATGTGGTCAGCATGTGAATTTGAGAATGTATGTGTGTTTTCATACCCTGACTTTAGCTGTGGTGGTCAACGGTGTATAGCCTGAGGACTCCAGGAACTCTTGCTTCTCTTGCTGAGCCTGAGAGCCCACCAGAGTGTTGAAGTTGGTGGCCAGATGCCTCCGCAAAAGAGTCTTCTGAGGCGGGATGTTCAGGAGCATTGCCAGGGTGTCCGAGTTAAAACGAGGTTCTAAGATCTGGGGGAAAGAGTGGGATTTAAGAACTTTTTTACCTGTTTTTTGACCCAATTTTTATATATCTCATCCAACACTGCAGTATTCATAATTACAGAAAAACAGAAGAATGATAAAATGACTGATCACATGTATACACTGCAAAAAAATGCTATTCTTACATACATTAATTTTGACTTGTTTCTTGACCAAGTATCAAAACATTCCTAAATCAAGAAGCATTTTTGACAATTCCTTCTGAAAAACTAAGAAATATCTAAATTTTTTAATTAAGAATCAAGTAAAAACTATTTTTTTTAAATATTGTAAATATATGTAAATATTAAGCAAGTTTTTTCTAAAACAAATAAAGAAAAAAATTCAACAAAATAATGTCAATGAGGTAAGCAAATTAAGTGTTTTCAATTTGAAATAAGATTATTTTGCTTACCCCATTAACATATAATTTTTTTGAAAAAAAAAAAAAAATCAAACATTTCCATATTATTTCTGAAAAAAAAAAAACATTTTTGTACTTGTCTAAAACCATTATACATTATTTAAGAATTTTTAGATATTTAAAAGAAACTAAGCAAGAAAAGCATGTTTGGCGCTGATCAGTACAAAATACATAAAATAAAGTAACAATAAATAAAAAGATCATCTAAATGAATATCCAAAATAATATTACAGGTGTAAAATGTAAAAATAATAATAAATGAACACATGAAGTTAATGGGAAGGAAATTGAGAAGCAATCTGGAGAACTTCTGGAGAAGCAATATATACAGAACTTTTAAAAATATGATTAATTCATTTATTTTCTTTTCGGCTTAATCCCTTAATTATTCTGAGGTTGCCACAGCGGAATGAACTGCCAATTTATCCAGCATATGTTTTATGAAGCGGATGCCCTTCTAGCAGCAACCCATCACTGGGAAACATCCATACACACTCATTCACACTCCTACACTATGGACAATTTAGCTTACCCAATTCACCAATACCACACGTCTTTGGACTTGTGGGGAAAACCAGAACACCCAGAGGAAACCCCTGCAAACACGGGGAGAACATACAAACTCCACATAGAAATGCCAACTGATCCAGCCGAGGCTTGATCCAGCGACCTTCTTGCTGTGAGGCGATTGAGCAACCCACTGCGCCACCGTGACACTCTTTTTATTGTTTAAACTTTCTTAAATAATCTAGAAAATTACCCCAAGTTTTATAGTAGTCCATCATAGAAAATACTATGGATTTTCTATTGGACAGCTGTTTGCTAGAGCATTGCCATAGATTTATACACTAGATGATGCATACGGGTCCTGAGCATTCGTCAATAACGCTGCAATATTTGTACAGGGCTCCCAGGACAAAAGTCATTTAACTGCATTTAATCAAGACCAAAGCTGTAATATACAATATCAACCTAGACAAAAGGGTAGATGCATAAGTATGAGAAGAAACTTTTAATTAGTTCTATACCCTGGGTCAAGCACTTCCGTTACAAAATCAGCACGTTTAAGGTCTGTTTTCTTTAACAATAAGCGATCTCCACTTTCTGAGTGATATCCGATATGAAGTGAGTCTCAGATTGTACAAGCAGCACTGCATTAAATTACATTTAAATTACATACATTTGTAATCTAAAAATTTTTCCTTCTACAAGCACTTTTACTACTTCAGATAAGAAACTGTTAACATTCTGTTTATTACATGCAAAACTTATAATAGCTCGATTTTGAAAAAATACAGAAAGCCTGCATTTTTGACAATGGTTGCGGGAATTGTCTTATTGTTTGGCTTTAGAAAAATTAACTTATATAGTCAAGAGAAAAACTGAGAAGTTTTTCAAAATTTTGAATTCCTTTGTAAGTGTTCTGAAGGAAGCTAATACAAATACTTACTCTGTATTACTTGTATTACCAGCTATTGATATACCTTTATATTGTATGTGAAAGTACATGCATTTACTAATATGTTTATATCATTTTTATTATTACAATTCATATATATTTGTTTATTTATTATTAATATTTTATGGTTTTATTTTTTATTTATTATAATTATTATTTAGATGTTTGAATCTGATTTCTGTTGTACATGTTAAAAGCTACTAAAATCAATAAAAGCAGTGTTCAATGTTTTTTTGCCATGCCATTTCTTTAAAACATGAACATTTATTTTATCCCAGTATATTTAATGGAGCTTCTGTGCTAGCCTGCTAATCCTGATGAATGTGTGCGTGTAAACGATTTTTCATCATAGTTTATGCTTGAACAACTAAATGAATGCCAAAGTCTATTTAACTGATTGCATTTTAATTACATTACAACATCGATGCTGTAAAAAGAACCGTATAAAATGGGAACAGGTCACATTAACTGTTCACCGGAAGTTTATCAGTATAAGGAGAAACACTAGCTTTGCATATACCCTATAAAGCACTTTAAACTATTAAAAATGCTAAAAAAAATCATTTTTTCGAACATTTCAAGGCTGAAAGTTGTTGGAAGAAAGATCCAGGTCCCTTGCAATGCAATTCAAAAACGTACACAAAGTGGTTATTATGCATATTGCAGTTAAGCAAATTGCTTTGGAGTTTTGATGATTTAAGCCAGGGGCGTCCAAACTCAATCCTGGAGGGCCGGTGTTCTGCAAAGTTTAGTTCCAACCCAATCAGACACACATGGGCTAGCTAATCAAGCTCTAACTAAGCTCTCTAGAAACATTTTTGCGGGTGAGTTGAGGCAAGTTGGAGCTAAAATCTGCAGGACACCGGTCCTCCAGAACTGAGTTTGGACACCCCTGATTTAAGCGGTCCTTCCAGAATTTTGCCATCGCTGAATTAATTGCAAAGTCAAGCAAAGTGTGCAAAATTTTGTGGATGAAATTAAGTGTTATTTTAAAAGTTACAGAACCCAATGTCTGGGTCTAGAAGTTATAAAAAATTATTTAACAACGACTTTTGTCTGTGGTAAAATTTTTACAGCAACAATGTTAATATAGCCCACAAGTTTCAGCTCATTTTAGGTAGCCAGAAAAAAAAACCCAGAAAAAGTCATGTGAAATCCTGGAGGGACTGTTTAAGGCATGCTTTCTAGAGAGTTACTATGGTGTTATGATTGGCTTTTAATCAGTTGCTTTGCATTCGCTCGGAGTTTTCACAGTTGTTTTCTGCTATGCCTATAGAAAAGAGCCCAAAAGCATTAATTTGGCAGCACGGCAAAATTAGATTCAAGTACTCACTATGAGTCCTCCATGCACTCCGCTGCCTCTCAGGTTGGGGGCATATTCTGCCAGATCAACAGATCTGAGCCACTCCATTACTCTGTGATTGGACCACTGTACAACCTCAGAAGGAGAGGTCTTATTCTGTCAAAACAACATGAATGATCATATCCATAATGAGCACAATCAGTCCTGAATGTACAAAAGTATGGTGGCCTCTTTCACTATTTCATCTCACCTCATCTCCAGGTCTTCGTTTGAGGCAGTTTGGGTTGAACTTGTTTACATGTAGGACGTGTATCGCACACTTGATGCTCAGATGGTGTAGTTGACTTGTGACTTTGAGGAACAGCAGATCATTCTGAAACCAAACCCAAGGTAAAAGATTTTAATTAGAGATGATACACAAGTTAATTCTGGCCCTCTAACTTGATTGGATATGAGTAATCATAGATATTTACCACAGTCAAGTACTGCAGCATTCTACCATCCACACGTCCTTCATTAAACTGGTCTTTGTATTGTGGTAATCCAATATCATCCAGCCACCCTGTGTGGAAACACAATGGCTCCTTTATACAGAGTTCAACTGCATATTAAGATATGTATGTAGGTCAAAGACAAAAAGTCCCAATACAATGTACTTAAGTGATTTTATGTTGACAGAAAGCCTATTAAAAAGATAGTTTACCCCCAAAATACAAATTCTGCCATTATATAATCATAGTTTACTTGTTACAAACCAGTTTGAGCTATTTTGTTCTACTGAACTTAAGAAAATATATTTTGAAGAAACTCAGAAACCTGTAACCACTGGCTATATTCCATAGTAAGAAAAACAAGTCCTCTGGAAGTCTACGGTTATGGATTTCCAACATTGTCAAAATATCTACTTCTGTGTTTGTTACGGCCCCAAATCCAAAAACTGTCTCTATTAGTGAAATTAGGATTTGCACTGAACATATGAAAGACACAGACGACTGAATCTGACAAGTTGATGTCCCCATCAATATATTTTTAATCTCATCAAATCAACCTTACAAAAAGAAAATAAAAATGTATAAACAAATAACTGTAGACAGGTAGGGCAGATTAACAAAACAGCTCCCTGACTACAGCTGTTCTTCCAGGAGAGATCTTACGTAGCTCAAAAATAAAATAAAATAAATAAATAATAATAACAATAATAAAATAAAATACAATAAAATAAGTCCAAGTCTTTCAGGCCACATCCCTTTGCTGAACTAGATAATAAAACAAGACTATAAAAATCAATTTTTACTATCTGTTACAAAAATAAAAAAAGTATCAAAATAAACAAATAAAGCAAAATAGTAAACACATTATGTTTTAACAATAGTTATCACATTAAGCTTACAAAAACATAGCAATAGAAAGAGTGCTATGCGAAGCGATCATGGCATGCCAGAGCACCGCCAGCCAAACAGCGTGAGAGCAAGCGTGAAAGAGAAAGTGAGTGTCATTGCCATCTGCCTTATATACAGTGAATCCCAATGAAATCAACTGCATTATCCAATCCGGACAAGCTGTTCACAAACTCCACATAAAACTCAGACAAGCACACAACCATACCAAAAAACAAAAAATAACACAGACTCATGTAACAGTGTTCAACAGAATACAGGTTTTGTACAAGTGAAGGGTGAATAAATGATGCCAGATTTGTATACCATCCCTTTAAATGCAAGTAAATTCAGCTTAGAGTTTCAAAAAACATTTGTGAGGAGAAAAAAAAGCTAAAATATATAGTGAAATAAATTTGAGTTGTTTTGATGCTTTAAAATTATTTTTGATCAATATATAAAGCAAATAAAACAAAATAAAAAAGGAGAATTATTTTCTTTAATCGCTCAATAAAGAAAAACCTACTGAAATTAATTGCATTTTATGTAATACTATATTAATATTAATAATTAAGAATATAGTAACAATATAGTAATAGTATTGAAAAATAGATTTATGGCTACAATACATACGTGTGACCCAGATGTAGTCAAGCTCAGAAGACTTCTCTGTGATTTTAGAGCTGAAGGAGTGCAGTGCCAGCTGTAGCTTCTTCCTGTGTAGCGGATGTTTAATTCCTAACTCCTAAAAGTAAAACAAATTAGAAATCAAGATGTTTGCAACCATCATTTAATTTTTCAAAAAGAAATACAGTAATTGTGAAGCCTCACGGAAATGCTACAACTGTTCATAGTCAGTAGTCACTAACAGCTGAATATTAAATTGAGCATATTTGATAGCAGAACAAATTAGTGCGTCACAAAGCATTACTGACGCAGACACAGAGGTTAAAGCTGAACTGGCAGGTAGAACCAAACCAGGATTTGACTGGCACCTCAATGACCAGATGTGAGAGGCATATGCATATCATTTTACAGAGATTGCCAGGTGATGCACTATATAGTATCAGATTGTGAAAACCAGCGCATTAGTCAGAAACAGTTCATTCTTTATGAAGTATAACTTACCTTTTCAATCTCATGTGAGGAGGCTGAGAGAAGAGACTGACCGCTAGTGACCCACTGTCTGGCCATATTCACATACTGACCCAAACCAAAGTCCTCCATCCATGTACACACCTGATCACATGACCATTTTGAGAAGGGGGCATTTGTATCACTGCAAAACAATAATAGAGAACATGAGAAATGGCAAGGAACTTGTTTATATATATATATGCACATTTTTCTCAGCCTCTTTTGTCTATGTTGAGTTATTTCACTTTGAAGACCATGTAAAGGACTTATTTTTGCCATAAAAGTGAAATTACTGAACCTACACAATGAAGTCTTTTTTGCATCTTCATAAATATATACAAAGTTGAAGTCAGTTTAACAGAGCAAATCATTTTACACAGTATTTGCTATAATATTTTTCTTTTGGAGAAAGTTTCATTTGTTTTATTTTGTCTAAAACAAAAGTTTTTTTATTTTATTATATATATATATATATATATATATTTATTTATTTATACATTTTAAATTTGTCAAAACAAGCAATTATATAGCTGCATACATGCACTTTTTATTCAACAAAACTTTTTCTTTTTAATTAACATTAAAAAAATCTATTGTCATGCATCTAAATATGCACAGTAATCTGTCCTGAATAAAGGTCCCAGATCAGCAGTTACTACACACAAATGAAGAGTTGATCTCATATTAAAGAAATGTTACTGTAAAGGATGATAATTAAACTATATTAACAAAAATAACTAATAAAGCGAAAAGAAAGCAGGTAAAAACATACCACGAGTGATAATGAAAGGATGTTCACATGCCTGAGAATAATTAAAATGAAAGCAGTGACTGTTGCTTACAAATATATATATATATATTAATCTTGAGCTCTTAAAAGCAGCAGGACTGTGGGTACACGAGCATCGTTTTTTGTCTAGTCTTTTTCAAAGAGAACTAATCGCAAGTGAACGGAAAAAAAGCGCATGTAAATGGGAGTGTGCGAGCTTTTTAACAGTCGTGCGCATCACATAAACCTGTGCGCGCGAGTAATCATCCTCTCATACGGTATTCACCTCCTTTGTATCGCGCAAACAGTTATTGTTTTCAGTCGTGCTGCTTCTAAATTCTAAGAACACATTTGCATATATATATATTTTTTCCAATTGTGTACAGAACAAACCATCATTATACAATGATTTGCCTAATTAACAATAATTCAGGAGCGCTAATAATTCTGACTTCAACTGCATAAATGAGTCTTTTCTCATTGTAAGTGCTGAGATACCGTGATGAAGTGCTGATGCCCAGGCAGGTGAGCCTTGGTCCTGCTGTGGCCCTGAAACCTCCTCTTTTGAAGTCTGAATCAGAGTCTGCTGGAAGACTGCCAGACTGTGTTCTCCTGATCCTGGAAAACAAAACAAAACAAAACAAAATGTGACCATTTGGAGGGCAAAAAGTTCTCTTTTATGGTTCTAAGGCCCCGTTAACACTAACACGTTTTAGTTTTAAAGGTATCAGGACACAGCCATTGAGCGCAGAAACTTGCAACTCTTCCCCCACCTTTAGGTTCTTCTGATTAGTCCACTGCTTTGGAACTGACAGTGATGAGCAGCACTGCATGTAAAGGTTGAAGTTCTTTTAACTTGCAACATCTATAAAATTCGGCATTCATGTGTGCGGCACTTCAAAAGATACGAGACTAAGCATAACTGTCACACGTGTCTGTGGAACACGCGGTTACATTAGTAATAAAAGTAACACATTGAAAAGGGGGAAAAAAAAAGGGTTGTGTGTGAACTGCCCCTAAAGGTGTTCTGGATGGTTGCTAGCGTGTTGCTACAGTATGGATGTATTTTGGGTGTAGACAGGTTATTATTTGTGGTTACACTAAGTTTTTTACGCAGAAGGTTTGTTGGGAGTTTCGAATGAATGGTTGCTAAAGTGTTGCTAATGAATTGCTAGCATGTTTTATAAAGTTGCTAGCCAAGTTAGAGGCCATATTGAGCCAATCGAATCCTTGAAGAAAATAGTTTCTACACTCATTTCCAAATGCAATTGATTGCCTTGTGGTACATAGTGTATTATGGGTTGTTTTTATGGTGTTGCTAGAGTATCATAAATCAAATTATTAAACAATGTATGTTCCAAGAATTGTTTATCATCTAAAACATTTGCTGTTTAGGGAGAGGAACTAAAACGAGTTTAAAATGTTTGCACATGTGTTTTTTTTTTAATAAACAGCTAAATGAGGATTCTTTCACATAGATTGCATAAAATGGCACCAATGTGACTTGTCCATGTTGATTTCTTTTTCTTTTTTCTGTTTTAATCCTTTTTTCAAAGACTTACTTTCCCCAGAGTTTTCGGATGCCCTTCTGGTTCTTCTTATGTTCTGGAGAGACGGGCGACTGCTGTCCCGACTCCACTCCAGACGACAGCGGCGACAGGTCAGACAGGGTCGAGTCATCTGCCTTCTCAATCTTTCCTAAAAACGAGACCTCAGTTGAGTGTTTCTGTGTTTTCACAGCTTTACTGTTAGACTGAATACAGACGATTCTCTCTGTACCCACCAAGAGCAAACTGATCATGCTTGCCCCGCGGCCCTGAGCCAAACATTAGCCATGCAAGAGAGCAGAAAAAGAAGAAAGCATTTTTACAGCTTAACTTCTGTGGATGCCACAATGATATCTTTGATGTAATGAAAGTAGCGAAATTGTTTTTATGTACATACAGTTTAAGTTATTATTAGCATCCCTGAATTATTAGCCACGGTTTATTTTTTTCCCAATTTTTGTTGAACAGAGAGAGGATTTTTTTCAACACGTCTAAACATAATAGTTTTAATAATTTAATAATATTTTATCTTTGCCATGATGACAGTAAATAATATTTTACTACATATTTTTCAAGACACTTTTATACAGCTAAAAGTGACATTAAAAGTCTTAACTAGGTTAATTAGGTTAACTAGGCAGGTTAGCGTTATTAGGCAAGTTATTGTATAATGATGGTTTGTTCTGTAAACAATCGAAAAAAATTATAGCTTAAAGAGGCTAATAATAAAAAAAGAAAAAAATAATAAAAACCAAAGGGGGGCTAATAATTCTGACTTCAACTGTATGTACAATTTATGTAAATAGAAAACACTATAACATTAAGTTATACAAAATAGCTCCCTTTTTAATTTCAGATATATATAATTATAAGATTTTTTAGAATGATATATATTTTACCATGACACAATATATCAAACCCAAATTGATTTGCACTTCTTTTTATATATAGCACACTAATAATGTAACTAATAATAATAATAATAATAATAATAATATTAATATAAATATACATATAAATATTAATATATATATATATATATATATATATATATATATATATATATATATATATATATAGTCATTTAAATAAAAATGTTATATTTAATGTTACATTCATTCATTAGTTTTATTAGTCTATTAAATTAACCGCAAAGTTATCCAGCATGTTTTTATGCAGCGGATGCCCTTTGAACTGCAACCCATCACTGGGAAACATCCACACACACACTCATTCACACACACATACACTACGGACAATTTAGCCAACTCAGTTCTGTGGAGCAAACCGAAGAACCAGGAGGAAACCCACGCGAATGCAGGGAGAACATGCAAACTCCACACAGAAATGCCTACTGACCCAGCCGAGGCTCGAACCAGCGACCTTCTTGATGTGAGGCGACAGCACTACCTACATCGCCACTGTGTCGCCCAATTAAATTTATTATGAAATAAAATTTTAAATGATTACACTTTTATACATTGTATTTTATAAATACAATTTTATTTATTTTATATACAGCATTTATAAACCAGTAAGATATTCTATATATATAGTACACTATAGAAATATTTAAAATAGGAGAGCAGAAAATAAGAAAGTTTTTTACAGTTTAACTTCTGTGGATGCCATATTTTTGTGAAATGATATCTTGGACCTGAAAGTAGAAATAAAAGTAGCAAAAATTTTGTTTTTACGCATATAAATGTGTACATTGTTAAATATTTATACCATTAAAACATTTAAAAATGAAATATATACAAAATAACATCTTTTTTAAATTTCAAATATATACTTAAACGACTTAAAACATTATCTCAGAATGGATATTGCTAAATATTTATTAAACAATATTTAAAAATATTAAATTATTAAGCTAAAATTTACAGCATGTAAATAAAACCAGCAATTTGTATATTTATAATTAATATGTTTTGAGTGTACAAATCTATATAAAACCAAAATGTAATTTTTCGTCTTCTTTGACATTTACTGAAGTGCATTATATTGCATCACATTTAAACTCAAAGAAAAGCCAGAAAGGCTCACATAAACTAAAGTCTAATCTCTGAAAGGAAGGAGAGCAACACAATCCCTCAGCTTTCAGCTTTTAAGAATCAGGAAAGGAGAGCTTAGGTTAAATATATAGGTTAATTTTATATATATCTATACACAATTTATGCATAAACCCAATTTATTTATGATATTGTGATGATAATGTCATGTAATAAATTTATAACATAATATAATATAATATAATATAATATAATATAATATAATATAATATAATATAATAATATACAAAAAAAGCGTAAACAAAAAAACACAATAGAAAATTTTTCACTTTATAAATTAAAATGAGGAGTTAATAAAACAAGTTGTATTAATTCAAACTGAAAGCATTATTAAATTGTAAAATGTTTTTTTTTATAATTTACTTTTATAATTAACTTTTTTTTTTTTTATCCTGATGCAGTTATGTATATAACTGTAGGCTATATATTTTCTATACTGCATACATAAAACATTTAGATATAGTATTTATTTATTACCTTATGTTTTATATTAAAATGAAGATTTTTGTAATAATATGTTTTTTACCATGACACTACACATGAAACCTAAATTAATTTATCTTTCTTTTTATATACAGCACATTATTAAACTAAAGTATAATAATAATAATAATAATTAAAATAATAATAATAATTAAAATAATAATAATAATTCAATAGTCATGGTAATAATTTAAATAAAAAATAATACATTAATTTATAATTAACTAAATTTTTTAAATACTTAAGCTTTTATAAATCTTATTTATTTTATATACAGTATTTATAAAACATTTTTCATATTAACTTAAAAATATTACATTTCATTTAATATTAAATGCATTTTTTAAATGCTTATACTGTACGTTTATAAAATTATTTGAAACATACTAGTTTATTTTATACAGTATTTAATATTTATATAATTTATAGTCATTTAAATAAAAAATATAACATTTCAAGTATTATTAAATACATTTTTAATGCTTATGCTTTTAAACATTTTATTGTATATATACAATTTTATTTCTTGTATATACAGTATTTATAAAACATTTATATAATTTATATTCATTTAAACAAAAATATTACATTTAATTTATTATTAAATACATACAAAACATTTATATTTTTATTAGTTTAAAATATTACATTTAATTTATTATTCAATAAATTTTTAAATTCTTATTATTTTAAATATTTTATTTTATATAAACAATTTTATTTCTTTTAAATACAGCATTTATAATCATTTAGATATTAAATAATAATATAAAATAATACATTTAATTTATTATTAAATATGTTTTTAGATGCCTATGCTTATAAACAACTTGTTTTGTTTACACAATGTAATTGTTTTAAATACAGCATTTATTTTTTATTAATAAAAATATTACATTTAATTTATTTTTAAATAATTTTTTAAACGCTTATGTTTTTTTACATTTTATTTTACATAAGACAATTCAATAAATTTTATTTAAAGTATTTATAAAACATTTACATATGTTTATATTTATATTACACTTTTATAAAATGCATCCTTTTTAGCACAACACTATATACACTGTATATTAAAAACCCAAAATTGCTTCATTTCCTTCCTTTCCCCCCATATACAGTACATTATATTTGCATCCCATGGCTCGCATTGAAACTCAAAAAAGCGAAGCAGCAAAGTGTAATCTCTGAGAGGAAAGAGAGAAATCCAATCCTCGCTTTTCAGCTTTAAAGACTCCGGCTAGGAGAGCTTAGCTTAAACCCAACACAAAATACCTAAAACTGGAGCGCTGGCACTTCTGAGACGATCTTCACTCCAGCCACACAGTCAGAAAGAAAGAGGAAAGAGCAGAAAAACACAGCCATGCAAACACACGTTAAAGAGGTTAAACAGGCGGAATCAAGCTGAAAGATTGCAGGGCAGAGAAAACTGTAAAGAGATCAGAAAATAAACACGCAAACAAGCACAGTGGATGCAGTTAAAGGTTAAAAAGGTCAGAAGATTAAGAAAAATCAAATGCAGAGAAATAACTGGATGGATTAGTCATTGAGATGACTAAAAATACAGTGATTTAGAAACCAATGTCTAGATTTCGTATGTTTTTTAAATATATATTGGATTATGCATACACACTAGAGGTAAAATAAATAAATAAAAATATAAATAACATTTTCAAAAAATTAAAAGAACCCATTGTAGTTAAATAAATTAATTAAATGAGTATTAAAATAAAGCAAATAAAGTAAAGTTAATAATTCAATTGGATTAAAAACAGATAAAAAAAATGGGGAAATTTTAAAATTAAATCTAAAACATTATTAATAAATAATCCACAAAAAGAACAAAATTTAAATGGATACGTCTATTTATACATTTATTTTATAATAAAAAATGTCTAAAAAATAAAATTTCATATGGCATTTCGAGGTATTTGCATCTGAACTCTTCATATATAGCTCAAATAAAACATCACAAGAGAAGACATTTAACTTTATAAATTAAAATTAAAACTTAAACTAATTGTATTTATCAAGATTGAAAGCATTTTCTTAAATGATAAAAATGAATGTTTTTTTTTTTATAAAAATATGGTTGCTTTTATTAATTTAATTTTCTATGTATTCTATACTGTATGTATAAAATATTTAGATAATTTTGTCTTTTAGATTTATTAAAAAATTTATAGAATGCATTATCATGACACATGAAACCCAAATTGATTTGACTTTAATTTACAACACACTATTAAACAAAGTATAATAATAATAATAATTACATTTTGTATTTGATACATAAATAAAATTATTAAACAAGTTAAATTAATAAAAATGTAAAAGTGATTGGCCAATTTAATAAAAATTTAAGAAACTTGATTTTATTAAAATGGTAAATAAACTGTTACTGCATTAAATTTTAAATAAATTCAGTAAACTTAATAATACAAATAACAGATATACAAATTAATTGATAAAGAATTATATAATGTAACAGTACATAAACTGGATTCAAATTATGCGAGTATATATAATAACTAATAATAGTTATAATATAAAATATGTAATAATTATTATTATAATTATTATTTCAACTAACATTTTAATTATATGAAAAAATATATATCTCTAACAATAAAGTGTAAAAAAATAACAATATTTCATGCAAAAAAAAAAAAAAAAACAAGGAAAAAAATCTTTTTTTATATTATTATTATTATTATTATATATTGTGGCCATAGCATTTTATATTTTCAATATATGCTAAAACGTAACTGCTTCATTAGAGGCTAAAAATCATGTATGTTATAAATATCGTATATGTGTGCTTACTGAGGTTGAACTGACTGTCTTCACTGTCATCAGGAGAGATCAGCAGCGGTGAACACTGAAGCCTCAAGCCATTCTGATCTGGACGATTCAATTTGCCCGGCAAAGTCTGGTATTTGTTGTTTTCCGGATTATAGCGGTTCTGTGGAAGAAAATGATTTATCTTAGCAATTATTTGTTTATTTAAAGAGTTTTCCATGTTGTTTTGATGAGCATTTTAAAAGTTAATTTAATAAAGATTATACATAAAAAAAGATATAAAAATTAATAATGATTAAAAAATAAAAAAGTTAATTACTAGACTAAAAAACAAATCACTAAAAAACAAATGAAATATATGGATGAACAAATAAAATGAATGAATGAATAAAAACATTTGTGTTATTTTTAAAATAAAAAAATGAAATAAATAAATCATATGAATAAATGACTGAAAAAATAAATGAGTAAATGAATCAATAAATGAAATTTATCAAAACAAAGAATAAATTAAATAACCGTATGAAAAAATAAATGAATTAAAAAGATTTCAAAATAATAATAATAACTAAAACAAATAAATTAAACAGCTTAACGTTGACTGAATAAATTAATAATCTATTTAGTTAACTAATGGATTTTAAAAATGTATAAATAAATCCTTAAATTAATAATAATAATAATAATAATAATAATAATAATAATAAAAATCAACAAATATAGTATCAATGGGTGAATCATTGTAAAATAAAAATAAATGAAATTATTTTTTACACAAATGAATGAATTAAAATGAATGAATGAATGAAAATAAAGAATAAATAAATAAGTTAGGGAAAATGTATGTATTTATGTATAAAAAAACAATTGAATGAAATTAGTGAATAAATATAAATTATAAAAATAAAAAGAATGTTGGAAAAATGTTAAATCGCCACTCCACTGGACTTTGGTTGGGAAACCTTATAACATGTTTGGCTCTTGAAAAGCTCACATATTTAATAAGTAAAAAAAATCTTCTGAATTGTGTGATGTCTAGTAGATGTTTTTAAACTTTGTGAAAAATGAAGATAGTTAAGAAGCTTCGGAAGTCTGAAGTTGTGAAATGTGAATTGGTGTTTGATTAGATTTCCTCTTTATTTTTATTTATTTTTTTTACTTTATCAATTTATTTTACTATAACTTTTTTTTCTGGGGTAAGTTTTGGGTATTGGGGTTTGGTTTATTGTAACATCTTGAAAAAAAACCTCAAAGACATGTTATAAAAATAAATAAATAAATAAATAAATAAAGGAAAAACGAATAACTAAAATGTAAACATAGACATAAACAAAAATCTATGAAATAATTAAATTAAAAACAAATGGGCGGTTCATTCCGCTGTGGTGACCCCAGATTAATGAATGAATGAATTTATTAGAAAATGAATGAATGAATGAATGAATGAATAAATGCAAATAAATAAATTGTAAAAATTTGCTACACTCTAAGGGTGTTAGCAATTTATTAAAATAAGTTAAATTAATAATAAAAATAATAAATACTAAAATTAAATATTAATTGTTAGCTGGTTGTACCTCTAAAGCAGCTTCTACTGGACGTTCCACTACATGCTTAGAAAAACCAACACCACAAACACACACTGGGTTAGTGTAGTACATACAAAACCAAAGCCCTAAAGACATTTAAGCAGTTTCAGACTAAAAGCGTTTTGTTAATTAGATGAATTAGTTGGCCGCAAGAAGCAGAAGAGTCACAAAATGCCTGAGATTTCAATACCATCTGCAAGCTGCCGCTCTGGAGCTCCTCCAAACTGCTGGACAGCATCCGCTGCAGTGACCTGATAAATAACAACAGCAAGAAATATATGAGGAGGTCCAAGATGGGGCTGCACAATATATATTTTCAGCATCGATATTGCACTGTGATCATTCGCAATAGTAACATCACAGAATATATGCAACGAGCTTGTACTGTAATTTATTATTTGCATGTGTTTTTGATGCCTATGATTGTTTAAGGATTTTTAAAGCATTCAGACATAATAAATTGTACCATTTTTGACCTTAACTACAATTCATTTTATTTTTATTATTCAGTTACTATACTTAAATACTGTTAGCCTTGGGAAATGATCCAACTTTCGGTTTTCTGAAAACTGTCTCACTACCATTGGAAAAATTCCTATTGACTTAACATTGAACCAAACTTTCTGACCTCATAACTCTGCATCAGACTGTCAAACATACTTATAACTGGGCTCATTTAACTCAGATTACCAAACTGACAATAAATGATGACCTTTTAACTCTCTAGCCACGCCCTAGCAACCACTTTCAGACCCTAGAAACTGTACCATAGACTTTCATTGCAAAAGACTGTCATTGACTTAAGATAAAATCAAACTTTGTGAGCCAATAACTCTGCATCAGACATTCTACAGACAAGAGTCTAGCCTCATTTAACTTAGTCTCGTCAGCAGCCAAACACTGATGACATTTTAGCTTTCTAGCCACACCCTAACAACCAGATACTGCACCCTAGCAACTGCCCTCATAGACTATTACTAATGCCCATAGGATCTATCTATCTATCTATCCATCCATCCATCCATCCATCCATCCATCCATCCATCCATCCATCCATCCATCTATCTATCTATCTATCTATCTATCTATCTATCTATCTATCTATCTATCTATCTATCTATCTATCTATCTATCCTTTTTTAAACTGTTTCAGACTAAATAAATGATTGACAAAAGGCTTTCTCAAGCCAGCCTTAAAGTTTGTCTTGACGAACTTTCCTAATTTAGTTGTAATTGCATCTTTTTCTTAATTGTATTTATTTAGTAGTGTGCCGTTATCGGCATTAACGTGCTGCGTTAACGCAAGACTCTTATTGCGCAATAAAAAAAAATTATCGCCGTTAATCTATTCTCAAAGTTGGGTTGGGAGCGGAGTCTATTCTACGCAAGCTATGATGACTTTCACCTTCATATTTTAGCGCGGATGTATAGCAGACCGGTGAGCTGTCTTACAAAAAAGTGCCCTTCTGAATCAAATCAGCAGGATGCCCTTCTGGATCTTTCACTTAATTCAAAGACACTACTGACTATGCTTACATGGACATCTGTAGTCAATTTATTTGTCTTAATAGACAATAATATAATTAAGGTGTTTGCGTGAAGTGCTTTCATGCAAGAGTTTCCTGTAATTTTGGCTTTGACTTTCACAGCAGTTCGGCAGCTTCACTTTAACTCATGAAGATTTCATTCATACCCATGACAAACTGGGGTATTAAATAAGGAGTAAGGACTGGTGAAAGTGTTATGTAATTTAATAATGCACGCCGAATGGAAAGAAAAAACTTCAGCATTTCGCGATGTGTGTGTGGGGGCGGTCCTTTACTTACAGCCACGTGTGTGGTTCTTGTCAAATATGGTGAAAAGTCCTATATGATGGTAATAGTTTGATTGCGGTGCATGCTTACTTCAATAATGTCACTTATATATGCATACTCCATGTCTTAATTCTAATTCTGTTTAGTTCAGTTATGACTTTAGTCGAATTAAGGCAATTATATAAAAAAATAAATCAATAAAAAAAATATCAGGGCGAAGCAGTGGCGCTGTAAGTAGTGCTGTCGCCTCACAGCAAAAAGGTTGTTGCGACCCCGGATTAATAAAGGGACTAAACAGAAAATGAAATTTAAAAAAAATATCGCTGTTTGGAGCTTATGTAGGCCTACAGTTCAAAATTCATGTTTAACTGAATAAATCTTTGTAAACACAAGTACATCTTATTGAATAGAATTTATTTTCATCAGCAATTATCATAGTAGAACAGTTTCTCAAGCAGTTTGTGATGCATTTTGGAAACCGGAAATGAGCTCCTGGTCTAATGTGCCACCTGGCTTGAGAAACCCATTCTCAAAGACTTATATTTAGTCATTACTTGGGTAGAACACGTATTCTGAATGCCTTCGGTAGAATTCAAATAAACAGTTTTAATCTAGATTAATTCCAAGATTACAATGAGATTATTCAAGATTTAAAAAAATAATAATTTATGCCCACCTATAAATTATAGATAGATAGTTATGCATAAAAATACTCACAACACATGCAAATACAGAAATGCACGGCAAATAGCACAGACAACAACGAAAATGTGTTGGGGAACCCCGAAAAATTTAAAGATTCGATTTTTTGGAGATGCACAATCACTGCAGAATCATCCCAATCGATCTAACATTATAAATTCTTTCCAAACAGACATATTAAGTCATCTGGTGAAACTATTCATATCGTAATATATATCACAAAATAAAAAATATTGCAATGTTAGACTTTTCCAATATCGTGCAGCCCTATTTCAGGAAACGTACGCACGCACACACACACACATAGTTCAAAACTTAATGCAATTTAAATCTGATAATCAAAAAAGCACCAAAAGCAGTTAATTTATAAAAATTTATGAAAAAAGTCAGTAAATAATAAATAAATAAATAAATTAATTAATAAAATATATTGTATTTTATTCATTCCAAATGTGTTTATAAATGTTTGGTCTATTATCTTCACTTATTTTAATAACAAAAGAATAATAATTTATAGTAAACACAATTAAGACAATTAAAGTCAAGAAAGACATTTTGGGTTACTTTATTTGATTTTTAAGTCAGTTTTGTTAAATAACTGCAGCTTAAACTAAATTAAACGATTACTGACTAATTTTGTCCAACATGAAAATTATGCTCTCAGTTACGCAAAAAACACAATTCTTCATGCAGCAAGAATATTACACAACATCCTCAGTCTCAGATCAATGATGAACAGCACAACAACAAGCCCACAGCAACAACAGAAATCCTCTTAAAGGGACAGTTCACCCCAAAAATAAAATGAATGTACTACTTATTTACTCACCCTCAACCCACCTGCTTCCAAACCTTTAAGAGTCTTTTTTTTTAGTTGAACATCAAAGATGACACCAATCAGGTTTGTGATTTTTATTCCCCATAACCAGTAGCCTGACCTCGACTTGTGATTTTACAGCACTAATTAAGGATTAACTAACATAATATTTTTGTTTTGTAGAACTAACTTCATATTTTACAATTGTTCTTTATGATTCACTTACTCTTTACAGTTGTAGCTTTTCAGACTTTATGATCATGATCCTCACGCTACAATGCAACATTTTGATTGTTATAATGTCAGACTAAACGACAATCAAGATGGACCAAACAGAGACACATGCAAGACTCATCTGGAACTTGACATCATACTGTAAATTCATGACACTTTAGGAACCTCCTTTCTGAATTGATACCTCATATACCTTAACAAAAATGGAAAAAAAAAATGGTTTTGACATAGGGGGACCGAAATACAATTAGGTAAACTGGCAGAGGGCGGAGTGACAAAGAGCAAAACAAAACTTAAAAATTCTGACAGGGAAAGTCAATTTTTCTTAGAAAATAACTGACTTTAGCATGTTTTTGCTTTTTAGATAAACAAGATCTCACTTAGCATGTTTCTTAAATAACTGCAAATCTTTAATGGCATATTGATAGTTTAGAAGCGTCAAAAACATACAGCACCTTTATAGACTCATTAAAATGTTAATTTTTTGGGTAAACTATCCCTTTGAACAAGCACAAACACACACAAAGAGTCCACTTGCCATGGTCTGCTGTAAAAGCCCAAATGACCAATGGACACCAGAGAGGTCTCCATGCAGGGCTGAATACTGCGAATGCTAAAGATACAACCAGTAAGGAATAGAGAAAGAGCCCAAAACACAGCTAGTTTGTAGCAAAACTATTGTCCTCTGATGCCACTGTTGTTACGAGTGTATATTAGTGAGAGTATAATAGGCTCACCTGGAGTCCAGATCTCTCTGTAAACATGGAGGAGACACCAGGAATGGAGACGGGCCTCTGGATGACATCTGTGGACATGAGAGGATATTGAAGTGACTTAAAAATGTGTTTTATTGTAATTTCCATATTCAAGTGATTGATTTTAAACAATAATAGAATAAGCTGATCATTTGAAAACACAAACTGAAAAAAAAATCTATAGATTAAATTATATTTGAAATAAAATTACAAAAGTTATTTAAAATTGAAAAAAAATATTTAATAATTTTACAGTTTTTCCCTGTATTTTTCATAAATGCGGCTTTGTTGAGAAGTAGATTCCGCTTTTAAAACAAAACAAAAGAAATGCTAAATAAACAATAGATACTGTAGAGACTTTGTTGCTTTGGTAATACTTCAGTTTTTATTCATATATTTTACTACATACATTTTGATACATTTTTGCCTTTCATTTTAAATTGAATTTATTTTACATTTTATTAATTGTGTCAAGTTTTTTTTCATGTTCAAGTTCATGTCACAGTGACAACCCCTGATCAAGAAGGGGGTAAGCTGAAGGCAAGTGTGCATTTCAGTTATTTTAATAACTAAAATACTTTGTCAGTTGACAATTGTCAAACAAATAAAATGTGAAACTTATTTTGGTTATCAAGTACTTAACTATAGACTTAACATCATGCTAACGTGTATAATGTTTTCGTCATAAGAAATGACAACAATAACTTTTTGAAATTCATTATTAAAAGGCTCTAAAACACTTTTGTTGTCTAAAGCAATAGATAAAATGCCCCTTAAAATTCTTTACAAAGTGACTGCGTACTGGCCTGGCATGCACAAAACATTTAGATCGATTTACATTGCTGTCTATAAATAAAACTTAAAAAAAATTAGAAAAACTCAAATAAATGTACTCTGCTTAAAGAAACCTGTTTAAATTTTGACTTGTACCTGTAGTTCTGATCTAATGATGTCCGAGTATGCTTTATGGGTCAGGGCTCTTATTTTTCGATTGCCACTAAGATCCTCTTCACTGCTCCCACACAGCAATGAATCATTGTTCACTGAAAAGAGAAGGATAAACAGAATAACCTTCAACTACTACATTTTTTGCAAAGATGACTACACCTAGCAAAGATGACTAAGGCTAATACATTTTTTTTGTTAAACTAACTCTTTAACATGCATTAAATGCATCTCTTATGACCGCTTGGGGGCCTGATTTTTTATAAGGGCCTTTCATTTTATATCAACAAGATTTACACTTTTCACAGGAGTGCAACTGAATGAACAAATCTATGTTACACAGCTTATGAGATAGTGGGAAAGCAAACGAATGATTTATTTTCATCCACTTACTGTATGACTAAAGAAAATTCATCTTATTACCAGGTGACCCAAGATATTAAAAAAGCAAATAAATCACAAGCTGTACCTTGAGAAAGAGCCAAACCGTCCTTCAGTTTTCTGTACTGGCCCAGGAGAACATTGAGTTCCTCAATATGGCGATCCTACAGAAACAAAATATTCAACAGCAAACTACTTCTAATTCATGTTACGACACAAACTGTATGTTGATTCCTGCAAACTTTAAACCTGTTAACAAATGCAAATGCACAGATGCAGACTAACCTTCTCATTATTGGCAGCGATGAGTGTCTCCATTCCAGTTTTTAACCTCTGCAACTCTTGATCTGAAACATAAAGAGCAAAACTCATTTGATATGCAGCATTACATTATTATAGCAGTAACGCTACATTTTATTTTTGAGTTTCAATGTAGTTAAATTACAAGACAGATTCTGAAAATGCTGATAAATAAAAATCTAAGTACAAAATAATTATTAGCTAAATCTATAGCAGATAAATTCACAATTTTCAATAATACATTACATTTACAACACACAGAAATATTAAAAATGATGCGGTAAACTAGCATTCCTGAAGATAAAACAGCCATTTTGGTCAATGGCAGTTTAGAAAAGCCAAAAAAGACATGCTGGTCTTTCTAAAGTTTTGCCAGGAGCAATAGTTCAGATGACAGGAGAAACACTCTTGTGCACATGCTTGTCCAGGTTGACACATGCTTTACAGCCAAGCTGTGATTTAGACTTTATAGCAGAACGTCATGCTTAAACAAGTTAATTCTGTAAGTGAAATGATGCTCAACAGCCTAAAACTCATCAACCTGACCATAAATTAACATATAAATCTACTGAATTAAGCTACCAAAAACTAGTCTGATCTCTTTAAACTAATTTGACCAAGTATTTTCAACAGAGAAACCTTAAACTGCAAGGAATAATTGTTCATAATCATCAATTATGAATACAAATTGACTATATTAACAATGTTATGTACAGAACTCTTAAATAATTTTATAAATAACATGTGTAAATGGTTATGTTTACATTGTATAAATCGATATATATTAACAATTTATTAATAATATATTAACAATATAAATCGACTATATTATTAATTTTATGTACAGAACTCTTAACCATTTAAACATGTTATTTATAAAAGTATTAATGTTTACATTTAATCTAACATAGACATTAATATAGTCCCCATTTATAGAATGAGGTCAATTACTTTAAAACTTAAAAATATGGTCTAATTATATTATAGATTATAATATATCTCACATAAACCTAACATTACAATTAGTCCAATATAAACACTAACAGACAAAAGTCTTGTGGTCGCTCCAAGTTTTAGGAACAATTAATAATACTTGACTTCTAGTTGATCATTTGGTATCAGCTTGAATGACTGCATCCATACATCTCTGCAGTGACTCAAATAGCTTTTTAATGAAGTAATCTAGAATGGCAACGAAAGCATTCTTGCAGGATTTATTTATTTATTTATTTATTTATTTTCATTTTACCCTAGACATGCTCAATAACCTTCACATCTAGTGACTGGGCTGGCCAATACTGGAGCACCTTGACCTACTTTGTTTTCAGGAACTTACAGGACTTCCAGAGTTCATCAAGATTCTTTGGATTCATCTTCTATGCCTCCTCCATCTTACCCCAGACATATGCTCAAAAATGTTCATGTCTGGTGACTGGGCTGGCCAATCCTGGAGCACCTTGACCTTATATTGCTTTTAGGAACTTTGATGTGGAGGCTGAAGTATGAGAAGTAGTGCTATTTTGCTAAAGAATTTGTACTCTCTTGTGGTTTGTAAAGTAATGGGCAGTACAAATGTCTTGATATCTCAGGCTGTTGATGTTGGCATCTACTCTGCACACCCCATACTGAAATGTAACCCCAAATCATGATTTTTCCTTCAACAAACTTGATTAATTTCTGTGAGAATCTTGGGTCCATGCGGGTTCTAATAGGTCTCCTGCAGTACTTGTGATGATTGGGATGCAGTTCAACAGTTCATCTGAAAAATACCTTCTGCCACTTTTCCAAAGGATCAACTAGAAGTCAAGTTATTATTTGTTGCTCTTACAACTGGGATCGATGACAATATTTTGTCAGGTAGTGTATTCATTTTAATAAAAACAAGAATATTTACTTTATTTTAATATGCTTTACACATTTATTTGATGCATTATGCAACATATTAATCATGAAATATACAAAACAATTACAACTAAAACCTTTCCACACACTGTAATGACTTGCTAAGCCTGTAACAAGGTCTAAATTATGAGATTAACTGATTAATGCTACAACTAAAAATCCAGTTTATATCCAGTGATTAATGCTACAACAAATAACATCCATTCACAGAATTCTCTATTAATATGGCCTCATATTAATAGTAAAGAATGAGTTTTAGCTCATAAGAAAGCAATGAGTGGCTGCAGGGTGTGACAACAAGCACAAATCAGCCGCTTAACACCCCTTCTACACACACGCACACACACAGGTATCCACTGAGGCGAAGGGAGCGACAGGCCTGACAGCATGCCAGTGTACATTAGCCAGACTGACAGAGAGACGCTGAGGGCAGTTGAATCAAGCTGAGGTTCAGCATGGGAGAACCTGAGATGTTGAAATGTGCGCTTACGTTTGTCTCTCAGCTTTCTCTTATACACTTCCTCTAAAACAGGGAGCGGCGGAGAACAGCGATTACCAAAAAGAGCCACATGTTAGTAATTTCAACACTCAGAAAAAAAAAAAAAACATTTCCAACCCACCGTCACTCCCACGCAGCTGGTATTTGGTACTTTCCGTGAACATTTATGGTGTAGCATTTGCTTTTTTTTTTATAAGAGTACAGTTTAGATATACTTAGATGAAATTTACATTTAGCTCATGCATTCTTTTTACTAGTGGTCGATAATGTATTGGCCTGACTTTTTTGTTTTTCAGTTTGCACTATAAGTCTGAAGGAAGACTACTATTTTGACGGTGAAAGGGACTCTTAATTAAACAAACTAGCAATTAAGCACATGGAGCTCTCTTTCTGTATCTCTTTTAGAGAAATCAAGTTAATACATTCATCAATAACCAATGAATATTTGCTCTCAGACAAGCTAACAAGCTAGCTAGCAAGTTTGATATGGCTAATTAACCATCCTATTACAAATTCTTGCTTACGAAAATAAATAATTTCTATTTACTAAAGGCTAAAAGTTCTAATGACATTTACATTTAGTAATTTAGCAGACGCTTTTATCCAAAGCGACTTACAAATGAGGACAAGGAAGCAATTTACACAACCATAAAAGCAACAATGAATAAGTGCTATAGGCAAGTTTCAGGTCTGTAAAGTCTAAGAAGGAAAGTATTAGTAACTTTTTTTTTTTGAGTTTTTTTTTTGAGTGGTATATCCAGAGAGGCAATTGCAGATTAGGAAGTGAAGTGGAGACTAAATAGTTGAGTTTTTAGTCTTTTCTTAAAAGCAGCGAGTGACTGCCGTTCTGATGCAGTTAGGGAGTTCATTCCACCAACTGGGCAGATTGAAAGTGAGCGTTCGCAAAAGTGATTTCTTCCCTCTTTGGGATGGAATCACGAGGCGACGTTCATTCACAGAACGCAAGTTTCTGGAGGACACATAGATCTGCAGCAGTGAGAGCAGATAAAAAGGAGCAAAGCCAGAAGTCGCCTTGTAGGTAAACATCAGAGCTTTGAATTTGATGCGAGCAGCAACTGGCAGCCAGTGCAAACGGATGAGCAGCGGAGTGACATGTGCTCTTTTAGGTTCATTGAAGACCACTTGTGCTGCTGCGTTCTGGAGCAGCTGAAGAGGCTTGATAGAGTTAGCTGGAAGCCCCGCTAGTAGAGAGTTGCAGTAATCCAGTTTGGAGAGAACAAGAGCTTGAACAAGGAGTTGAGCTGCATGTTCAGATAAGAAGGGTCGGATCTTTCTGATGTTATAGAGTGCGAATCTGCAAGATCGAGTGATTGAATGATTAATTTTGGTGTTTATTCAATGTGCTTCAGGTACAAAAAACTAAATATTACACTAATCAGGGTTACAAACTGTCCTAAAGTTGCTACCATGGAAACAAAACATTAGCGATCAACAATTTCTGTTATTTTGCAGGTGGTTTTTAGAAATGACTATTTCTGGTCCTATAAGTGGAAAGTGCCATTTATTAATGTTATGCTAAATTATTCTGCACTGAGGGCTCAGTAATATGTTGTAGCTCTTCAACAACCATTAGCATTTAATCTTCTTAGAGGTACCTCTCTCTGTAATGTCATTGTTGATGGTTCCTCGGGACAGAAGCTGATTCTGTAGACACTCGATTTCTGCATCTTTCGTAGCAAGCAGCTGTTGGAGTTTGGCAATTTCAGTCTAAAGAGAAAAAGAAATACTTTAGCCGATTATGTTTTAGAAAGGTAAAAACAGCATCAATCAGGATTTTTACCATTTTTATGTAAGAAAGAAGACATCAAGGCCACATTTTACGTATGATCACAGAGGATCTTGAAAATGGACTTGATCACATTGACACTGTAAGGGAGAACATAAGAAGCTAACACTGACAACACAGAAGTGACATTCACAACAGGGTTGAATACAAGTTAAAACGACCTACACCATTTTAGGGGCAATAAATTATACTTATAAAGTACATAACACATACTACATCATGTAGAAAAGAACAAAAGTTATGCAACCACACACAATTCTTTGTTTTTCCGTGTAACAAATTGCATAAGTCATCTACAGCATAGGTTTCAAACTCGATACCTGAAGAGCCGCAGCTTCAACCCTATCAAACACCACTGATCCAAATAATCGAGGTGTTTAAAAGAGTCATGAACACCTTCATTAGTTGGATCAGCTGTGTTTGATTAGGGTTGGAGCAAAACTGCAGAGTTGCGGCCCTCCAGAAATTGAGTTTGAGTTCTACAGAAAGAAGCACCCAATTCTTACTTTTGCTTAGGCAAACATAAAAACAGGTTGAGTGGACAGTAAAAGGCAAGCTTGACTAATCTAGGGCAAGGATCTACAGAACATCTACAGCATAGGTGTTAAACTCGATTTCTGGAGGGCCACAGCGCTACAGTATGTAAAGTATGACTAAACTAAGGAAAGGATCTCTAGAACATCTTCAGCATAGGTCTCAAACTCAAATCCTGAAGGGTCGCAGCTCCAACCCTATCAAGCACAGCTGATCCAAATAATTGAGGTGTTTAAAAGAGTCAAGAACACCATCAGTTGGATCAAATGTGCTTGAATAGGATTGGAGCAAAACTGCAGAGCCTTCAGGAATTGAATTGGAGACCTATGATCTACAGGAAGAAAGTGTCCAATCCTTTCTGTTGTTTAGGCAAACATGAAAACAGGTTGAGTGGACAGTAACAGGCCAGCATGACTAAACTAGGGCAAGGATCTACAGAATGTCTACAGAAAGAATGCACTAATTGTACAGATATGGTCAATGAATCCGCTTATATTCCAGTGTTGAAATTATCTACACTTATTCCCAAAAAGAACAGCCTGACAATCTGCATAGAGAATGAATTCGAGCATACTAAAAATAAATCAAACCTACATATGCATGTTTCAAGAGGCAAAAGGCAGACAAATAATCTTTAGTAGACACCATCACACATGGCTGAATTCAAAAGATTGCTGCTGATGGACCATATGGATCTCTATAATTCTCTCAAGCCATCTAAACACATCAGCGTCAAAAACTATAGATCTTGAAACTGCAAGACTAGTGCATGTGAACAACTGGCCAAGAGCAAACCAATTTCATAAAACCGGGGCATCCATTATGCCAAAGGGCCACCCGTGTGAAAGTTTAGCTCCAGTGCACCTGTCTGAAAGTTCAGTTATCCTAAAGGTGTTTGTTTGGAGTTGAAGCTAAATTGATAGAATGGTGGCCAAGAATAGATGAGCTTGACTAAACAAATCTAGATGGAACCGGGATCAAGTGGCACAAGGACAACCAAAGAAGTGGACATTTTCAAGGAACAACGAAAAAACTCATTTGAAAACATAAACCTCCATTCTTCAGGAGAGGGCTAAGTGTTTTATGAAATTGACCCAGTCCAAAAGGGCACTCCTCATTCAAACTTGTGTCAGATGTTCTTTATTTTTGGATATTCACAGGATGAGGATGTTGTATTTTATGAACTGATGGAAATTCCTTGAGGAATGGTCAAAATAATACTCTGAAACTATGGATTTTTAGGAACATAAGGATTGAAGGTGCCATTTTGAGATGAGGCCAATAACGCCCTCTCCTTTGTGTCACACTGCTCAGGGAGGAGGATAAGGGATAAGGACGGGGAGCAAGGATAAGCACCTGAGCTGTCCGACAGCGCTCCTCCCAGTGCTGTCGTTCTACCTGAGTGTGCTCGACCGTGAGCTTCAGAGTAGAAAGCTTAGTCATGAGCGACTGGTAACAGACATGTAGTGAATAGGTGATAGAAAGCTGGAGGAAGAGAAAGCCAGAGGGTCGTTTGTTATGCTGAAAGCTTGAAGTAATTTATGAGAGTGCAATGAACAATTGAATAAAGAGTCAGATTAGTATGTACAAAAAATGTACAGGATAAAAAGGAAGAAGTAGCAATGACAAGAGTTTCCATTTGAGCAAATCAATTTGGCTACAGAGACTGTTAGTAACGCTGATATGGGAGGTAAAGTCCAGATGAAATATGCATTACCTTTGTGGCTTTGAGCTTCCTCTCATATTGAGATTTCTCCCCTTCTAGTTCTTCAACTTTGTTTTTAAGAAGGCGAAGCTCTTGTAGCAAAGCCTGATGAATAAACAGAAACAAGAAGAACGATTACATGCTACCTTTTGGTGGCAAAATTTATACTTTTATGGCAACAACTTTTTCATAAGCACCATAAAAAAACTCTTCTGATTATGGTATGAAGCCCCTAAATTGATTTTGCAGAATAGTTTAGACTTTCTTGTGCATTTGCAAAACTTTTCTAGTGCACACTCGAAAGTTCCAGGGTCTTTCTCCAGGGTCTTTCTCCCCACAAATTTCACTTTAGGGGCTCTGCTATATCATTTAGATCAACGAGGAAATTCAGGAGAAAAGCTTTGGACTGAACAATGAGACCCCCACACATTGCAGTTAAGATGAAAGCTCTGTAGATTCCTGGGAAAAGTTTTACTTACATAAATTCCTTGGCTCCTCAAACAACTGACAGAATTAATCAAAGAGCAAGCATCTAATAAGGGTCACCACTAAGCCCACAACCATTCTGGAAGATCTGAACTACTCAGAAACCATTAGTGTTAGTGAACTTCCATCATGCAGGTTTACACCCCAAGTAAATTAGGACATTCTGTCATCAGAACACACTGCAAACACCAATAACCATGAGAATCCCACAGTGGAGCCCACAGACACACTGGATTCACTGTAGGAAGAGGCAGTTAGTAGCAATTCCTGTTGGAGTGTCCAAAAGTGGGATAGGGAATGGTTATGTTTTAGGGTAGAGCAAAGAAATACAGAGGGGGTCTTGATGTAAGTCCACCACGTAATGAGGATCTGCCTACATTCTCTCCTCCGCTTCTACAGCGGCAGCTGCAGTCCTCAGCATCCGAGGCACCAAGGCCCACATCGGGGCTCTGGTCAAGAGCCTCACGTGTGCCACTGTCCCCAAGGCTCTCGAGGGCCCGTTGCTCCTGAATGCGATTGCTGATTTCCTCCTGGAATTTACACATCTGCTCCTGTAGTTCACTAATTAGATTAACCACGCTCTGAGAGCAAAAACAAGAAAGCCAGAAAAAAAAGGAAAATGTTGATCAGATTTGGAAACACAATTATGAATACACATACTGTAGATGGTCTCATGATTAATCAGATTCTTTGAATAGGGATATTCATTTAGACTTTTTTATTATCCATTAGATCACATGTCCACTCCAGAGAAACATTTCCAGGTTCAATTATCTTCATCTTTAGGCCCCATGGACTCTCTTTAAATAACCTTCTCAAACTCCTACTTTAAAAACACCCATCTCTGAACAACCAGCTTTCCGTGTTGTCAGCAATAAATGTGCTTTTTGTTTCAAATAAGACCATTTTGTCTACATGGTAAAGGTGGTTCAGGGGCCTGCTTTATAGCCCACTCATTGACAGAGTAAATAAGTTACTGACCTAGTTTGCAATTTAAAGAAGGGTCTATAAGAGGCCAAGCTTTTCTGGTGACCAAGATACTACATTTCAAAAGGATAAAATAGGAAAGCTTGTAATTCAAATAAATGTTGGGTCCAGAAGGAGTGCAAATCTGTAATACTTAATCAAACCTGATATGCATGACAATATAAGCACAGATCAAACTTTAGCAATGGGTATGTTAATGTTCGGTTTGTTTTTCACTTGTGAACAAGTGAATGATTAGTCAGGCTAATCCTGGCTATACTGACAGAAATGCAAAGGGTGTCAGCCAGAGGAAGTTTCATATGATATTCCCTGTTGATGTGAAGGCTGATGATAAGGCACACGTCCGTCGGTTATATTTAGCTCTATGCTAAAGGTTTGTTAGTGGGGGAGATCTCTGTGGTGAAAGTGTTTGCGCTTGTGGTATGTTCAAAGTGAATTTCTGCCATTCCGTCTCGTTGAATGGAGCCTTGCAGCTGTCACCCTTGAGGCCAGTGTTTGTTGATGTAACAAATGCAAGGAGAACCATCCAGGACCAAAAGTGTGTGATGATCCTACTATTAAGATGTAGGAAAGAATGACTTAAAAGTAAACATAAAAACTACAACTTTAAAGGTCACAATTTTAAGCACATACTTGTAATAAGAGATTTGTGCAGTTCAATTTTCGCTCAGGTTTAAATGGTGAATGACACCCTTTGCAAATACGTGTTAAAAACCGTGTGCATGTTGTGTGCAACTGAACGCTCGTCAAGACAAGCACTGAGCACTTCTGGCGTCTGTCATTTCACGTTCATCAAACTGCCTGTCACCGTCTCCCATTTAGGCTCACCGCATGCTTTTGTGTCTCTGTCAATTAGCATCTTCCCTTATCAGCACATTGTCTTTTTGGCACTGGGAGCATTTGAGAGACATGGCTTTTGAGAACCCATGTGTAATTGTCTGTGTGCGTGTGTACATATCTGTAAATCATGTTTCTGCAAGCACACTGTCGGAGGGGAGAGGCTGAGTTTGTGTGATAGCCAAGATGAAACAAATGACGTAGACATAGGGTTAGATACATTTCTTTTCAAAAGGGTACATTTACACGGCTATGTGGTTTCGACAACAAAAAACTTTTTTTTTAAGGATTTTGTTCATTGATTTCACTTGAGGGCCTTAAAACAAACATTTGAACGTTTTTGAAAATAATAAACTTCAAAAATGCTATTTTAAGATAACAATGACACAAATGCATAAATAATGTACTTCACAATAAACACAACTATGCAAACGTTTCTAAAACACAGAGATAGCCTTTAGTAATTAAATAGATGTTGTTTTAACTGGGAAAACCACTGTCGCTTGTTTTTCTTACATAATAAAAGACTTCTGTCAGATTTCTTTTTACATCAAGTGTTTAAAAATATTATGCATGGATGAAAACTTTTTTCCTCCCATTTTACTCTCCTTGAGTACTAGGCAGTGCTTAATTTGAGCCAGATTTTGGCAGATCCTGTTCCAGAAAATATTTGTGTTCCGCTATTTATTTTAATTGATTGAGCATTAAATTTTGCATGGTGAATACTTGCATGTGTGTGTGCTAGAGGGAGAGAATATGAATAAGTCTGAGAGACAAACAGCGAGCAAAGCGGTGTTGACATAAATGTAGTCACGTTCGACTAATCAGCTTTCTTACGTTTACAATCACTCTCAATGATTGGTGATTATTGTTTCACATGTATCACCAGCGAAAATAAATTTAAGCCATGGTGGCCCACCTAAAAAATATTTATATTTTCAAAATGCCAAAGGCAGTCAAGCATTTACAGTTGAAGTCAGAATTTTTTAGTCCCCTTTGATTTTTTTTCTTTTATAAATATTTCCCAAATTATATTTAATAGAGCAAAGAAATTTCACAGTATGGCTGATAATATATTTTTTTTCTGGAGAAAGTCTTATTTGTTTCATTTCGGCAAGAATTAAAGCAGTTTTAAATAAAAAAAAAAAATTTAAGGTCAAAATTATTAGCCGCTTTAAGCTATATTTTTTTTCGATAGTCTACAGAACAAACCATCATTATAAATAACTTGCCTAATTACCCTAACCTGCCTAGTTAAATTAATTAACCTAGTTAAGCCTTTTAATGTCACTTTAAGCTGTATAGAAGTGTCTTGAAAAATATCTAGTTTAGTATATTATTTACTGTTATCTTGGAAAGGATAAAATAAATCAGTTATTAGAAATGAGTTATTAAAACTATTATGTTTAGAAATGTGTTAAAAAATACATCTCTCCCTTAAACAATTGGGGGAAAAATATACAGGGGGACTAATAATTCTGACTTCAACTAAAATATATGTATTAAACCACAAGTAATTTTGATAATGAGCCTGATCAAGAGAAGATAAAACTTTGCCCCTCGATCAGGATAGCAGGAGACAGAAGCAAAGAAATTTTTAGTCAGCCAGAAAATATGATGGAAGAGGTAACTGTAGGCTCTTCTTGAAGATTGAACAGAGTGAGTCATTTTCGCTTGGCACATAATAGTGAAGTGAACTGAATGTCAGTGGCGTTAGTAAACTTAATAGTGATGCTCCATACAATTTTTGTTTGTAGCTACATATTTGTTTGTTACAATAGCCTAGTAACGTCACGTTACGGGAAAAATGAAATTATGCAGTGTACGTCGGGCACTTTTCTTTCCTGATTTTCTTCCAGAAATTATTTATTTACAAATGAAGCACTGGTCCTTGGTATAACTATCTGACAGTGAATAATATAAATGATTATTTAAGGGTGTAGTAGGTGATTGTCTTCAGAAGCATTTTTTGTTGTTCTGGTTGAAAGTCTCTTCACAGTCTAATAGTAATGATTAAAGTAAATGATCTAAATGTATTTATAAGTATTTATATATTTTGGGTAGGGAATAAAACAAAAAAAACTTCATCCAATTAAATAGAGTCGGGCCGACATCTCTCATATAATTCATAAGTAGCCCAATCTGTCTGTCAGCAAATGCAGATTTGAACAATTGCGCAGCTGTTTGTACTCAACTCCGCTGACCGCCACGCGTTCACGAGAGAGAGAGAGCACGCGCGCGTGCGATCAGTAAAAACCTGCAGAATCAAAACCTGAATCAAAATTGGAGTCACCTTTACCAACGTTAGATGTTGTTGTTACAAATGGGTTATATCTTCACAGAAGTGTGGTTCAGCCACTAAAATATTCAGATAAAAGATTTATAAGACTATTTTCAGTTTCATAAGGGACCTTTAACAGCATCGATAATGTAGATTTTAATTAGTTTAACAACAAAACACAAGTAAATACCGCTATTCTGCCTAGTCTCCCTACATTGTTTACCATGCAACTCTAAATATTTGCTCTGAAATAGCATGTCAGTTTGGCTTGCATGCCGCTGGACAAGCACCAGTCGCTTTTAACGCATGAGAGAGGGTTCTTTTGCTGTGCTCGTGTTTAAGGAGGCGTGGCTCTAGACGACAGGAGAGGGACTGTGTTTCAGAGATTTATGCTACGCTGTTAGCATTGCGAAAGATCACCTACTGCACCTTTAATATTATAACTTTCTCCAGTGGCCAGTACCTTTACCGGATTATTATTATGAGCCAAGGACACCAAAACAAATGCATATTTATATGAACATTTCAATTTTCAATTGATTTATGTTAAATTTGTAGAACACAATAGTAAAATTCCCAGATATTTTCAGCTGTGGGAAACCAGTCCACTTGGTTTTTTGGAAAATGGCTTAAAATAAAAGCAACCTTTCAACCTCTAGACAGCAAGCCAGAGATTCAGTCTGTTTAAGAAAAACAAAGCTCAGGACAGATGCTGCTTTAAAGTTTTATGGTATTTGTCTAAGTCTCTGTTTAGTCTGTTGGCTCTTCTCATTGTGTTACATTGGGAATCTGATAACTAATTAGGTGTTAAGTGGCGATAAATGGACAGGATCTACATAAACAAACCACAACATAAACATGCCACCATGACTTCCCTTCTCACCAGTTATGTTTCCATGCACCATATGGAAACATCAGATTACATATCAACTCAAAACAGCTTTACTGATCTTGTATTTCAAGATGGCACTCAACATGGCTACAATGTTTTGTTTATATGTCTATGGAAACACAATTTTCTCTATAGATATGGCCCTAGATTTATTAAAATACAAACATACTGGCATGGCTGTTTTATACGTGGCTTTAGTTGAACTTGAGCCAACAGGTGGACAACAAAGACACAGACAGACACAAATAACATCAAACAGTCCACCAAATTTCTCATCAACAATCAATGTATAAAACATAGTATTAGGAATTAAATCTTAAAACAGATGGAGTAAACATGCCATCAGAATAAACCATTATCATTAAAACAAATACAATAACACAATAACATAACAGAAGCTGGATCACTGGATGAACCCACTGCCCTGCTCGCTGATCTGCCAGCCTGAAACAGTACCTCTGCTTTATGATGTTTGTCCTCTTCATCGATGTGGTTGTGTTCCTCCTCCATGCCGACCAGCTTGAGTTTCAGATAGGAAACTTCATCCATCAGTTCCAGTTTCTGCGTCTCCAGTGAAGTTCGACTGAAGAGCTCCTAAATCACGAGAGCGCATGTTAGCGAACACATTTGTTGGCGACACACAAACACCCTCACGCTAGTACTGTACATGGTGACAATCATACAGCACACAGCCATGGATTTGCTAGCCAAGATCTCACAGTAACGCTAGCGCCGCTAAATATACTCAAGCAATGAACGCTATTTTTACTTCCTCTGCCTATCTGGTGCCTGTATGTGAGAAAGTCCGGAGGGCCAAAAGAGGGAAACGTGGTTTCTCAGCATTCCTGACACTATGGGCTAAATTCAGCAGGGCTCAATAGTGTCCAAATAGGTTTGTACACATAACGACCTTCATGAGAATATGTTGTGGTGATGCTATGATTATTTCCAAAGCTGTGGTTCACTGATGTTTCAGTTGGACACTTTTGAGCCAAAAATTGTCATTTATTCTCTCTGCAAGTCATTCATTGTAACAATAATTATATTAAGCCATATTTAGAACAAGTATCATCTGATAACACGTTTAATATTTTTTAAAGAACACAGTACAGCCTCAAAATTATTACGCATTAATTATTGTTTTAAATGTGTATACTTTGCTAATACGTCTACTAAAAACACCGAGCTTTACACATTTGAGAGATTTTATAATTCAAAATATAATGAAACTTAGGGCCAATCCCAATTCTACCCCTTAGCCCTTCCCCTTACCCCTCGTTTGCACGTGCACGCCAAGGGTTAGGGATGTCCCAATTCTCTTTAGCTTGAAGGCGTAAGGATAAGGGGAAGGGGTAAATAGCCCTTTAATTGAAGATTTTTCAGGACCACACTTGAAACCAAGGGGTAAGAATTTTTCCCAGAATAAACCTGCCACAACGGCAGTATTGCTGAACCCGGAAGTTAGGAGATCCACAAATTTGCATTTTTTGTCATTATTACAAATTTTTGACAAACAAACAAACACATGTTTTAATATATTCATAACCGCGTTCGTGTTTTACCAGCATGCTTTAAAAAAAAATAAAATAAAATCTGCTACATTTCGCGATCTATAATTCCTAGACATAACTCTTGTACAGCAGTCCCACAACATTGACACTCGAATACCCTGTCAGTAATATCTAGTGGCTGGGAATGAGCTTTTTGCAGTGTCTGCTATAATGGTAATGTTGTTTTTGGTGTGTTTACATTGATGAATATGGCCACTGTCCAACAGTTACGATTTGATTGCCACATTGGATTGTTATGATAGCATAATATATGCCTTTAGTAATTTCCTGAAGATAAATACCAACAATGAACACAACTGGAATCACTACAGCAGTCGCAATCGTCTGATCTCACATGAAGCAGGAGATTGCGAGGACATATGACGAAATGCGCAGGTGGTTTAGTGCTGTCCCATTTCTTAGGGGTAAATTTTGAAGCCCTTTATATAGTTGCGTGAACTTGCGTCCAAAATGGCACACTATGCATTTCTGCATGTACTTACGCACTTACACACTCAACAGCATGTGAATGTAGTGTCATCTCAAATAAAACACTGAGGTTTTTTTACTAAGCGAAAATCTGTCTTTGTCAGGGGACGTCACCCTCGTAAACGTTGAGTTGCATTATAAGTCAAGCAGCCAATTTTGGGTATTCGAGTAAACGTCTTTTGCAGAGTAAATACAGTGTTACGTTCTTGTTGTGTAAAGAGTTGTAACAGTAAATCAGACGATAGAAAAGGTCAAAAAACAATCGTCTTCCAGATGATGTTTGGTGGTTGTCAAATTAGTGAAATAAATGAACAAACAAAAAAAAAACTAAAAAACTGCAATGATATAACTGCATTCACCATTGGAAGGCGGTATAATCACTCCAGTAGGAGAACATTGCTTTCACTATCTAAAATAAAGTAATCCAACATTAGTGCCTGAAAGCTCCACCCATTCCACTACGTGAGCAAAGCTGCGGCCGCTGAGTGCGAAGTGTACATCATTCCACACTTATTTTTAACAGTTGAAAAACTGCATCATACGGGTATTTAAAGGAATATTTCAGTGTGAATGCACTTACACTATAATACAAAATGGCGCAGAATAGTGCACAAGTATGTGATTTGAGGCGCACCTTATGTTAACGTTATTTTAAAGTTTTCGCTAGAAAACAAGATATTGTTCACATTGTGAGAAAAAAAAGTCAGACTTTGATGTCAGGGCTTTGTGATCTGTTTTTGTCTCGGGTTCCAAAAATGTTTTTATATAAATGACTATTTCACTGCATTCCTCATTCTTTTTATATTTAATAAGAAGAAGTCAGAATAAGTATGTCATTCCGTTTTACATAAACAAATATGCTATACTGAATAACGATGGAACATTATTTCACCCATATTTCACATGTCATTTGAAACATTGAAACATATTTTCCAATATTATTTGCATTTAATATGCCATCACTTTTATAAGCTTAACTTTGATGCAGAGACCAAAACCATATACAATATATGGTGTCATGCAAACAACTTCTGCAATTTGTATGTTTGTTTATTAACTCGTTTTGAAAATGCAGCAAGTTTTCAATGGAAGAAAGGTCAGCAAATTTTTGTCTAGCTCATACTTTGCCCAGAATTACCCTTTAACCCACAACTGATGATTTCAAAAGCTGCACCAGCTTCCTCTTTCACCTCCTGACTTCCTCTTTTTAGTTTCTGAATCAGAAATTAAAAAGTTCCATGTTGTTACAATCATCAGAGAGCACAAATACTGTACAGTATAGCCACAATGTGAACCAACAGTTACAAATACTGTATCAGAAATGCATGATTTTGTGCTGTGTGAGCACCAGCTCCTAAAATGGCCAAATTAACCTGAGGGTGAGTGAATTAACAATCTTTAATAGACTCTCCATTTCCACCTAATAAAATATTTTAAAGGTTTAAGGGTTAAAGGACATTTTAGTCAGTTGAAATGGCATTGCTTACTGTAAATAATAATAATTTTAAAATCTTGAGTAAATATTTTTAAATGTATATATTTTTAAAAGTATAATTTTATAATTTAGTCATTTAAAAAAATCATTTTAGCAAATTAAGGTTTTATTTTAATTGTTTTAATAGAACTAATACTATTTAATAAAACAAAATATAATATACAATAATGTCACAACTTATTGAACAGATTCTCTCACAAACATCCAAGTTGTTGTTTTTTAATCCTTCCTTTTAAGTATGCATAATCACAACCTAAATCTCTAAACATTCTGCTGTGACATTAGCAATACTGAAGAGCCGAACAACAAATGAAGGTATTTGGGAAAACTGCTATGTCTAAGCTGTGGCTTTACTTGCCCCATCAAGCAAGGAAAACATAAGGGCTCTCATTATCTCAACATCTCTGGCATTCCATCATGATATGATTGCTGCTGCAAAAATCCTCCTATTGAATCCTCTTAAGGATCCAAGACAAAAAGGCTCAGTAAAATATTACTAAAATGGTATTGTACGGCAAACCAATTATCCGATCAGATTAAATCATTTAAAAACTATTAATTATTTAATTTAATAAACATACAAATTCTTTTTAATTGCATTACATTTTGTGTTTTTAATATGAATAGTAAAAATAATATCATTGTATTAGAAAATGCTGTGATGTAATATTATTTATTTCTGCTCATTTACTCATAAATTAATGAATAACAGATGAAGACAGAAAAGTGTGGCTAGAGTGCAATGAAACGTCACATATTAATCATTTAACCTTTTGTAAACATTGTCAATGATACAAATCCGTATGAATGAGTTTGAGTTTTTTTTTTTAATCTGACAGTTAAAACAACAACAAAAATAAAATGAAACCCAGAAATAAATATTTATTTCTGTTGTTTTACTTGGCAATGCTAAAGGAACAGTTTAGTTACCAAAACCAGTACTTTGTAAATGATACTATGCAAATCAAAGGAACAGCTGCCAGCAAACACAGCAACTAAACGGTTTAAACCAGTTAGCCAAACAGCAAACTCCACAAAAACATGCATATTTATCACACAAACAAACAACTACCTCCTCAGGGACACACTTATGAAAGACTGAACATATAATTACACCAGAATTGAGTAAAACCACATTCATAAATCAAATACATACAAAAAAAATGCAGCAATCTCAGCACTTGATCTAAGTCAAGTCCACACAATTACGATCGAAACTCCTGAAAGACCGCAAATTGCTCAAGTTTCCACAACTAAACAGTGTTTTGAAACAATCAGTCAAGTGAAACCGACAGGTAAAAGCTTCAATCATTATAAACTTCCCCCAAAAAGCTCAAAATTAAAGCACAGAATGTCTTACCTGCTGGAGCATTTCCTCAGTAGAAATTAGTTTGTGGTGATGTTCTTCCAGGGAGCTTTCCAGATCTCTGATTTTTTCTCCTTGAGCTTCAACCTGGTCAGTGAGGACGCTCACCTGAAACACAACAAGAGCTAATCTGAAACCCGGCTGAAGTTTTCCCTCTGTCGCTTCCTGCTACAGGTATGAGGATTGCAACACACGCAAGGCTCCAAAGTCTAAACGGCAGAAGAATGCGAGCCTTCGAATGTGTGCTTTTGGGTTCAAAACGGCCATTCTTTAGCCTTGACACACTTCCATGCTAACATGTGGGGCTGCTTGAGTTTCTATTGTTTTGAAAGTGTCCTTTTGTTCAGTAGCAACTGAAGGACTGCCAACCAGCAGGACAGGTAAAAGGAGAAGAACAACACCTTGAGGGCATTTGGAGCCAATCGTGTTCATTAGCCTTTCAGAGAGGGAGGAAATTCACCAATCGGAGAGCAAGAGGGAAGGGCTTATGTACAAGAGCAACTTTTGACACTTGTTGCTGCAGAGTTAAACAACCTAACTTCTTAAAGGTGAAGAGTCTTTTTTTTAAATGTTGAAGTATCTTAATTCTATGAGCAGGACAGATTAAAGGACATTTATAGGCTGATTTATGGCTCTTAGATGATTTCATAATGGTTTGGCAACTTCTAATATTTTATCCTTGATGTTTGTGCAAAAAAAAAAAAGAATGATCAAAATTTGTAAGCAATCAGACTTACAGTGGATTATACTGGGTTAATTCTCTGGGTTATTTTAACATGAATACTTAAAACATGGTCACATTTGAGAGAAGCAGAAATATGGAACAACAAATCATTTTGAGCTAGGTGGACATGCATTATATTGGAGTTTATAAAACAAACATGCATTATATGGGAGATGTCATTTATAGTCAATATACTGTATGACATAAAACAGCATCGACTTTATTATAATGATGGGTTCATACCAAATGCAAAACACTTTGTCACTCTCTGAGTTTGTGAGGTGTCACTTTAAAAATGCACATATCTAACATTATAATGAAAGCATTAAATTGCTTTACTAACTTTTTATGCTCATTTAAGAGAAAATTAGTTGTGTTTGAAGGAAAACCCACCAAAACTGACATCTTTAGATATTATTATTAATTATATGTAAATGTCTGTTCAAACTGTTCAAACACGCACCCAAAACCCAGACTTTAAGATTTCACTAATGTAAAAATATTATTTATTATTACACAGTGTCATAAAAAAATGCTGCTATATTGATGTGTAAATTGCACTTCCGGCTGGCCGCGTATCCGATCTAGACTTTACTCGTGTACTGAATTCATTTAGGAAACAGCATCTATTTATCACCATGGAGCGCGTCAGCTGACAGTCACACACTGCTACATGACTGTTTTGAGGAGTACATAGGCAGGGCAAAGGTGCCTGTAATGGAACGGAAGGGAATCCTTCCATTTTTGTATTTATTTCAAAGTGTTTTCATGCCTAAATAAAATGAAAGCACAGAACAGACTATAGAAGTACGGTAGAAAAACAGGAAAATACCTTTACAGGATAACAGCGGGATAGAACTGTAAAATACGGGAGAATCATGGGAAAAACACAAGGTTTGACAGGTATGCTCACGCTACATTTCTTGTAGGAAATGTTTTTCGCCACGCAGATTTTCCGCTCAAGTTGAATATCTTGAAAATTCGTCAAGCATTCTATTATTATTATTTGTAGTACTATTCACAAAAATAATTAATATTATACAATATATACAATATAAATATACAATTAATATTTGGTCTGAATCATGCACTCTTGCGGGGCACATTTAATGATATGGGAGGCTTGATTTAAGCCCTGACTTAGACTAGCAATGTCATAGCAACCACCCAGAAACCCTAGCAACATAATAGAAACCGCCTAGAATACCTTAGTAACCATATAGAAACCCTAGAAACCCCCAATAATGCCCTAGCAATCACAGATACCCTAGCAACAAACTAGAAACCCTTTAGAATTCCCTAGCAATAACCTGGAAGACTCTTAAACAATTAGAAACAAAATAGGTACTATTTCAAAAACAAAGCCCTAGCAATGGCCTAACAACCATTTAGACATCATAGACATCCTAAAAACCATATAAAATATTTTTCAAAATATACCTAGCATGGACCTAGACAACACAACAAGATCCTAGTGATCATCTTGTATACCACAAGAACCAGCAGTAATAAGTCCTAGCTAACATCTAGCAATGCCACTGCAACCCCTCAGAAACCTAGAAACTGCCTAAAATAACTTATAAACCACCCAGAGTAATTTAGAAACCACAAATATAAACTAGCAACGACAACCACAACATAAAACAACCAAATAGAAGCCATCCAGACATTCCTAAAATCCTAGAGACATCCTAAAACCATACAAGTACTCTAGAAATAAACCCAGATGCACCTAGACATCATAGCATCATCTTAGCCACACTCTAGTAAACCAGCAATGTTATTGTAACCATCTAGAAAACATAGATACCATCTAGAAATGCATCAGCAAGCATCCCAAACCCCTAGAAATGGACTAGAAGCCCTATAATCCCCCCAAACAATGCTGTAGCAACATGATAAAAACAACTAAGAATTTCCTAGCAACCACTACAGGAAACAACAATGACATAGTTATCACATATAAGTCCTAGATACAATAAAGAAATGCATTAGCAAACTCCCTAGCAATGTACACTACCTGACAAAAGTCTTGTCGTCTATCCCAGTTGTAAGAGTAACAAATAATAACTTGGATCATTTGTAAATGTGGCAGAAGGTAGATTTGTTCATGTGTTGAACTGCATCCCAATCATCACAAATACTGCAAAAGACCCATTGGAACCCACATGGATTCAAGATTCTCACAAAAATCAGTCAAGTTTGGTGAAGGAAAACCCATGGTTTGGGGTTACATTCAGTATGGGGGTGTGCAAGAGGCAACATCAACAGCCTGGCAACATCAACAGCCTGAGGTATCAAGACATTTGTGCTGCCCATTCCATTACAAACCACAGCAGAGGGCAAATTCTTTAACAGGATTGCGCTCCTTCTCATACTTCAGCCTCCACATCAAAGTTCCTGCAAGCAAAGAAGGTCAAGGTGTTCTAGGATTGGTCAACCCAGTCACCAGACCCGAACATTATTGAGCATGTCTGGGGTAAAATGAAGGAGGAGGCCTTGAAGCTGAATCCAAAGAATCTTGATGAACTCTGGGAGTCCTGCAAGTTCCTAAAAGCAAAGTAGGTCAAGGTGCTCCAGGATTGGCCAGTTCAATCACCAGACATTAACATTATTGAGCATGTCTAGGATAATATGAGGGAAGGGCATTGAGGATGAATTTGTTGTTCCTAAAACCTGGATAGGCCACAAAACTTTTGGCAGGTAGTGTATTAGAAACCCTTGAAGACCCCTAACAATGTCCATGCAATGACATATACAGCCTAGCAACATCTTAGAAACCATTAAATTACCACAGAATTACAAATGCAACTCAGACTCCAATAATAATTTATTTTATCTTCTAAAAAACATAGACAATTAGTAGGATATTTGGTCTAACTCTCAAAGATACACATTCTGCACTCATTTTTACTGTTAAAGCTGAATGTCAGCTGTTGAATAATCTGTCTTAAATGAACACAAGCTTGCCAGTTTACAGTAAACACATACTATCCTAAAAGAACAAGTTCAAGCTGATAGTAGCTAAACTCCCTACTATGGAATCTACAATGGCTGAGTGACATGTTGAAGAACACCAACCCCCTAACCTTTCCACAGGTTGTCCCATTATTGTGTGATCTACGACTGTCCCATTGTGCTGGGTCACCCTGGCCTTCATTCACACAGAAACTACAGTCCCCCGATTTGACCCTGTGAGGTTTCACAAGCATGTTGGCTGGTTGTCTTCTCATTGTGTTGACATTGTGGCTATTATGAGTTAAAATGCCTTGGAGGCCTGAGTGAAATATCTCACCTGGAGAACCAGAGACTCTTTGTCCCCTTCTAATCTCGCCAGCCGCTCTTGATAGGTCTCATTGTTGCTTGAGCTCTGATGGTTAACCTGTGGAGACACATGTATTTTAACATGAGAGAAGCCTTCAGGACTGGAATTGAACTTTAATAGGTAATTCTAACATTTTAAGTGTCTTTTTTATCTATGAGGATTTCCCAAATGCCCTCTTTATAAAGAATGTTTGGAGGTCTCACTTTTTGGTTAGAGTTCAGCTCAAAATGTAAAATTAGACCACACAAACATCTATCATTATGAAGATAGATGTAATGATTGTAATGATGTAAAAACTGTATATTCTATCCCTCAAAACCAAACCATCACAGGAAGCAATTTAGCTTTTTACATTTTTAAAAATGCCTCATTCTGTGTGATTCATGAGCTGTTTCGTCATGGGGACCAAAAATGTCCCAACAAGGTAAGAATTTACAGGTATTACTAGACTTAAGGGAATTTCTTTACCCACAATGTAAGTAATACAAGGTATACACACACACAAACTGAAAGTCAACAGAGCAGATAACCTGCTTGTCTGCTTTTTTTTGAGAGTAAATGGCTTGCTGCCAATGACAGAATAAACTTCAACAAAGTGAAGCACACAAGAAAGTCAAATGTATTATATTTGTTGTTTTAAAGGTGTTAAATAACATGTTGGCATAAAAAATGATCTGACGGGTTTGATATCTATTCAATACCACCACAATGGAAGAGCTCATTATAAATTAATGAAAAAAAAATGCATAAAGTTTTAGGATACAATATCAATGGATATATACAAAACATGTTTTAAATAAAAAGGTAGACTGACTGAAAGATAGTAAATGCTAGAACAACAATAGATAGCGAGATGGATGGATGGATGGATAGATAGATGAATGAATGGATAGATAGGGAGATAAATAGATAGACAGATGGACGGATGGATGGACGGACGGACGAATGGACAGACAGACAGACAAACAGATAGATAGATGAATGGATGGATAGATAGCAAGATAGGTAGATTGACAGACAGACAGACAGACGGAGAGATGGACAGAAAGACGGACGGACGGATGGGTATATAGATATGTTTTAACTAAATCTCATAAGATGGAAAAAAATATAAAAGAGTACATAAATCTGTCTAGTTTTCAGACAGCACACCAGCACACCACTTAAAAAAATCACACCAGTAAAAAAGGTAAGACACAGCCAGTGCTAGGCTAGCAGAGCTAGCGCTTGCCACATGGATAATCTTTCTCTTTTAAAAGCTTGGGCTGTGTCCGGGGCTGTCAATTCCTTCAGAGTGCCACAATAAAGCTGTCTACTCAGGGTTTACAGGCCAGCTGCTGGAGGAGTTACAGGGTTAAGCCTGTCTGAAGGCGGCTCTCAGTCCTCACACATGAGGATTTTACAGTCCACGGCAAATTCAAACTCAGCTTGAAAGCTTCAGTCATTATCTTTTGGGAAACAGATGTGATTTCATTTGATATTCTGTCAAGACCTCATACTGTAAATTAGAGCTCAACTTGTGTTTTGGAAGAAGGCAAAACATCTCTAGCGGTAACTAAGCAAAGGTGTCATATTAATTCTGATCAGACTGACATAGTAACCAGTTGGCAACCTCTTAAATTTGAATTAGATACAATATTCTGGAGAGAGAAAGAGCACCTCTGAAGCAAGAGAGTACACTTACATTTACTGATATAGTAAGCCTTAAATTACATAAATAGTGCAGCAAAGTATCTCTACAGTGCCAATATGTCAGGGTTATTGATGCTGTCGTGAGGCTTTCCAGGGCTTTCCAGGGCTACGATCACCATCTCATCACATGTCAGGAATAAGTGCTCAGACCGATTCATTAGGCCACAACTTCTATTAGTTCAAGGTGTGCTGTAATTAATACTTACTTTGTCAGAAAATACTAGGGAAATAAAATAATATATTGTACAAAATGAGGATTAAACAACTTAAGTTACAATAAACAGTTTATATTAACAGTTAAATATTAAATGAATATTTGTATGTCTATATTGTAAATATTTAACAATCGAGGTCCAAAAGGTAATTTTGTGGTAAAGGTAATGCCAGTAAAACTGGCAGTAAAAAGGGGTCTTCAATAAAAAATAAAAATTAAAAAAAAATATTTGGTGCTAAAAAAGTGGGCAGGCCCTAATAATGCTTGATGCTCAGACTTTTTAAAACAATGTTATTTTAAGTTGAAAAAGGATCATTGGATTTTAACATCAACTAACGATGTCTTTAATTTTTTTATATAAAAAGGACTTCTGTTACTGACTGTTTATTCGCTAGCAGGAAACATCAAATTCTACAAAACAGTTTGCAAGCTTAAGATTATATTACATATTTGGATTGACCAATAAAACTAAACAACTGTCTCAAGAGTTTTGTTTCTAAATTGTTACACCCCGTGTGGCTCGGAGAATGAAGGACTTAGAAAATAAAGAAAAAGAATATCTAAATCACCCAAAGTTTATTTACAAATGTGTACATTCATTCATTTTCTTGTCGGCTTAGTCCCTTTATTAATCCGGGGTCGCCACAGCGGAGTGAACTGCCAACTTATCCAGCACATTTTTACGCAGCTGATGCCCTTCCAGCCGCAACCCATCTCAGGGAAACATCCACACACATTCACACACACACACTCATACACTACGGACAATTTAGCCTAAATACCCAATTCACCTGTACCACATGTCTTTGGACTGTGGGAGAAACTGGAGCACTCGGAGGAAACCCACACGAACACAGGGAGAACATGCAAACTCCACACAGAAACGCCAACTGAGCCGAGCCGAGGTTCGAACTAGCATCCTTCTTGCTGTGAGGCGACAGCACCACCTAATGTGCCACTGTGTCACCCCAAATGTGTACAATAAATGCAAAATGAAGTAAATAAATTCAGTTCAACTGAAACAAAACTGATAGAGGAAAGAAAAATAAGCGGTGCCAAATCAAAAATAACAAATTAAACACTCGCTAACTAATCTCTCCCCCACCTCTAAATAACTTCCCTTTTAGTGGATTTAATCAGGTCTAGCATAGGATGTTCTGAACAGATGTACAACTCAAAAACATTTAAAGCGAACCAGAGAACAAGACAGGCACAAATGTCACACAGAAAGACACAGCAGTAACAACAGACAAGGATCCCCCCTCAGTCAGTCTGGTCCGAGTTGTCACAGGAGCTCTTAAATTATGTGGGTTTGACAGGACAGACTGTAACTCGCGTTCAATTCAAACAGATTACAAAACCAAGTGATCTTGGTTCATTTAGAAGCAGAGATTTCAAGCTTTATTTGGATATATTCTTGTGTCTGTGAAGCAAGTATTCACTGAGATTTCAGTTTGTTTGTTGATCACCAAAAGAAGCACTCATCTGGTCAGAGCTTTTCACTTTAACACTTAGCCTACAGTAAGAACCATATCTATAAACATAAAAAAAACATGAATTACACCCTTAAAAACCCAAAGGTTCCAACACAGCTTTTACAGCAATGCCATAGAAAAAGCAATTTGGTTCCATTGAGTGAAAATGTATGCAAAGTACAATTTTTATTAATAGTTTAAAGAATATTGAAAAAAATCTAAAGAATCGTTTTACACTATAAAGAAACTTAAGTGCTAGAAAAGTTTCTTCAAAAAGTAAAAGGTTCTTCATCAATGCTAATAAAACTTACATTTTAAGAATGCCAATTTTTTTTGGAATGTAAAAATTCTATAGGTATTAAAGATTCTTTATGGAACAACTGATACCAATAATAATAATAAAAAAAATAGAAAAGAGCTTAAAACTTAAAGCAACTTGACCTCCTCCTTGAGTCCTTCCTGACATGCTGCTCTGATCTACAGCTAATTTAACCTTCAGAGCCAAGTTCAAACTGAGATTCATGAAGCTCTAGAGCACCAATTCAATTTATCACTACACCAGAGGGATGTTTATAAGCAGGACAACCCACAAGAGCTGGAATTTCCCCGTTTTCATGTCCTACTGCCTGCTTGCAGAGCTGTAAATGACTTCAGAAGAAACTACAGAGATCATTATTACTCCACCGTCCAAGAATGCATGACAATATTGACAATTTTACAGCACAACCCCTCCCTATAATACTGTAAAGTTCCTCCACTAAAACCTGTGATTCCTTCTGAGACACAATTACTGTCATTTCTTTCTGGAATCTGGAACTTTGGAATGTAATGGCTAGTATATACAGTTGAGGTCAAAATTATTAGCGCTCCATTAAAATTAAAATTCTTTTAACTCGTTTCGAATATCATATTTCATTTGTCTTCGCCATGAAGAGAGTACATAATATTTGACTAGTTATTTTGCAAGATACTAGTATTGAAATTAAAGGCGCAACTAGGTTATTAAGGTTAACTACAGTAGGCAATTTAGGTTAATTAGGCAAGTGTTTTTTTTAATTTTTTTTATTTAAAAGCTAATTTTATTCTAGACCAACTAAAACCAATAAAACTTTATCCAGAAGAAATATATATTTATATAATGTAATGAATAATAATATTAAAATAATATTATATTATTTATCATGATTACATAATAAATTGCTAAATAATTTATACGTTTTTAAAAAATACTACGCTTAAATATGCAAATAGTGCATTATTTAATTAAACATAGGCTCATTTGCATACATTTCTAAACATCAGATGGAAAAAGTCCTATTAAAAATTCTTATTTATTTTATATGAGAGAATTTTTTAAACTCTTTAATTCAGAAAATGCTGCAAACAGTCAGTAAAAAGTAAATATATTTTTATTAAAGAATAAAATGTTGTATTTAATCAAACAAATCCCTCATTTGAAGCTTTCAGAATACATACAGTTAAAGTCCGAATTATTAGCCCCCCTTTGAATTTTTTTTCCTTTTTTAAGTATTTCCCAAATTATATTAAACAGAGCAAGGACATTTCCACAGTATGTCTGATAATATTTTTTTCTTCTGGAGAAAGTCTTTTTTGATTTATTTTTGCTAGAAAAAAAGAAGAAAAAAGAAGAAAAAAAATAAATTAAAAACCATTTT